AAAATTCTCCGCTTATAAGAGGGGCAATAATAATAATAACAGAAGCAATAACAACGAAAACAGATAGATGACATTCATTCATCTATCAATCAATAATTCTTTAAAGTAATAAGTATGTATGTGTGTATGCATACACTGAGTTCATCTTAAGGTCATTTGTTGTTTAAGTAAAAGTACAATCATCACATGACTTTTTTTGTATGTTGAAAATCAATAGTTTAAATCAACGTGATCAAGGTTGAAAAAGAAGAGGGAAAAATAAATTCTTTTTCAAAATTTCTTAACTTTGAAATAAAATATTTTTTTAACTTTTGGTTGTCATCATATTTGTTTTTGGATTTCCCCGTTTTATTTCTCTACTAACTTGGGATTGCCTTAGATATAGATAACCTGCTTAATAAGGAGCTTAGTTTTTCAAAGTATAGATTCCGTTAAAGATCAATACTAATTACAGAATCACGGATAAGAGAGTGAATAGATCCCTGTTTCGGAGTGGCTTTATTGCATATCCCCGTTGATTGTAGTAGCATTGTAGTTCGTTGCTCTGGTGGTTTAATGATAAGTTATGGTTTTTTATAGTTTTTTAAGTGGAATTTAGCATTAGAAATTTTTCTGGTGTACATATTGTCTATTAGTGGCATTATATTCTTAAACTGTGTTACATTTGCTGCACTTTTATGAGGAAATCTAGCTTGATACTGATATCTGTGCAATTTAATGGATTTAAGAAGTCAATAGGTTCAAAAGTTAAACGTATATTATTTGAATTTTGATGAAATCATGCGGGTTGATATATTTTAGCGTATTTATTGAAACGCCTTACTACGCATCGGATAAAGGGGAGGGGGGTCAACATCAAGAAAGGGATATTTCATATAGTCGCCATCTGTTTCGTTTTACTCTGAGACTTTTGTTTTAGCTAAATCTTTGAAGTTAGTTCAATGAATCTAATATATACATTCAGAGTCCCCCGAAAACGACTGCTCTATCCATACCACCACGAAATCATGTGATCATGTAGACATCAGTGAACAGATTTTTGTGTTTTTGTTTTCACGTGTTGATTTGTAGGGATTTGATTGATTTCAAGTTTAATCATGAAGTGACTTCAGTTAGAGAACCATTGGAAACCACCAGGGAAGAGTACTGGACAACTGTTCCGTCCCAGGTAGAGACTCTTCAGCTATCCTATGCTCAAAATTTACCTAACTGACGAAATTTAAGCTGAAATTAATCCTCATTCCCACAAAGGCTGTAATCTACACAATAGTGGTGTTATTGAAAGGCATAATGGACTGGAATTTATTGTTATTTACTGAATTTCCGGACATTCCCGGAGGAACATAGATCTTCAAGCTAGAGCTTTGAAGTTTCAGTGGCAGTGGCTCCATTTTTTCGGAGTGGGGTTACTAGCCTCACGCCCAACCTCCCTTCTTTGCCTGGCTTATCACCAGCTAAGCGAGGTTTGGGAGTGCGTCTGTGGCCGGGGATCGAACCTCAGACCATCTGAGTGGTTGGCGAGGATTCTACCTGTTAGCCACCGACACACAGATTGGAATAGTGAGATTAAAAAGTGTTAGATGATAAAATATTCTGTCTCGAGAAAATGGAGCTTACAATCCTTGGACATTCAATTATTCTCCTTCTTCTTTCAAAGTTGAGTATTTTAAAATTAATCTGGGTTGGCTGAGTTATACACAGTAAGTTGGTGGTACGATATAAAAACGTATGTGTTTTTAGTCTTGTCAGTCAGCCGATGAAGTGAGACAAACGTGTCAAGTCTCCTCTCTTTTCTGATTTATGTGAATAAGTATGTTTAAAAGTTGCAAAGGATATTCGGAATCACTGACAGTTAATATTAAAGGGATCTTGAATTATTGTGTACTGCTTCCACAGTCATGGAGTGTCATATGGCAAAAGAATAGGAGATAGGGAAAATAAACACAATATTGGCCACATGAATCTTTGCCAAGTAGTCAAAACAGCAATTTAACGGATTAAAGCCATGCCGTGGTTTCATTGCCCTTCTGTTTTTTAATAACCTTATCCTACTCTTGCTAACGTAGGATTCTGAGGTAGATTATGGTTAAATATGTGTGAGCCAGTGTATAACGCTTTGTTCTAGGGGGTACCTAGTCTGTCATACTTCCCGGCATTGTTTCCATGATTTTTTGTTGTTAGATCTGCCAAAGGCTATGGGATAGTAAACCGCTCAATTACTGTCTCCAAGGTTCGAAAGAAGGGGCTGTATGCTATATATATGCGCCCAGCCCTGGTAATGTTTGTGGTGGTTGGATGCTCGCCAACCACGCATATGGCTCAGATTCGATTCCCGGCTGACGTATTCTTAAGCCTTGATTAGTTTACTAGCTGAAATTTAACCCGTTAAAGGGGGAAGATTGAAATGATGAAACGTCAGAGCTCAAACCTGAGGCGCTGTATTCCATTCGGAACGCAAAAATACGAGAAAAACATATGTAATGCATAACTAAGGTAATAAAGCTTTGTACGTTTCTTGATCTACTTACCTGTCTTACCTAAATTAAATAATTAATTTCTATCAAACACGAGTGGTGGTAGTACTACGGAGGCAATACATAAGTTGTTTACTGCCGTGGTCTACAGATGGAAGTGATCTATAATCAATCAGATATCTTGTGTTTGTCATACGTGACTTAATTTAGCGATAAATTCTGATGTTGGGAGGTCGTATAGAGATTCTTCATTCACATAAGTTTATCCAAACTGATATGGCTTCAGTCAGTTGCAAGCATTATACGACATGAAGAGCAATCACTTATCATTACGATTTAGTTACACGCTGTTTTATTTTTATTTATTATTCCCTTGCATTCCTAGTGGAACATAGGGCTTCAACAACACATCTCCGCTTTGTTCTATTCTCTGTCGTCCTCTTCAGCTGGGTCCACGATTGACCATAATCTCTCATCTCCTCCTCCCTTGCACGATCTCCTCCATGTGACCCTAGGACGACCCACTCGTCGCTTCCCATTCGGATTCTACTGGGGGCCTGGCGTGCGATATCATTCGGCGGCCCAATCCATTTCCACTTTCTCCTACATATTTGTTGAACGATCGGTTCTTGGTTGGTTTGTTCCCATAGTTTCTGGCTATTTGATCTTCAGTATGGAGCCAGCGAAGTGTGCAGCTGTTGATGAAAGTCTGCAAGCTGTTGGAAATTCTTTTCGTAACTGACACGCAGTGCAGTTTTCTGACCCGTATAGAAGAACCGGCTTGATATTGGTGTTGAAAGTGCGAATCTTGTTCCCTATGCTGAATGCGGAAGACTTCGAAGCTGATTTCAGGTTGATGAAGGCGTATGCTGCCTTTCCGATTCTGACTTTGACATCTTCGTCCGTTCCGCTTGTAGTTGAAAGCCTGTTTTCTAGCCTTATAAGTGAAGGAAGTAATATCTGTTAAATGTCTCCCGTTGATGGTGATTTGTGCTGGTTGTTGTTGTTGCTTTTTGTTGGTTATTTTCATCACCTTCGTCTTCTCTCTGTCAACTTGAAGTCCTGTCTTTGCTGTCAGTCACTTCAGTTAGTTTGTTGGTTTTCGCTTGCAAGTCTTCCAGTTTGAGTGACATTAGACATATATCATCTGCGAAATCCAGATCTTCTAGATTCTTCTAATCGGTGAGTCCAGCGTATTGCTGTCTTCTCACTCCATGTGCACACTGTGACGCATAATCCAGTCAACCACAATTAAGAATATCATCGGTGATCATAGGCAGCCAACCTTGTCTTACACCTGTATTCAATTCGAACGCCTCGCTGAGTTTTCCGTTGTGGATCACCTGGCACGTGACACTGTCATATAGCCAGCCGTTGAATGAGTTTGACAAAGACTTGAGATACGCTGTAGTGTTGAAATAATTGAGAAATTTTCTGTCTACTAACACAATGTGATTGTACCAAAAGTGTTATATGAGAATATATTTAAATTCAATTCACAATTTGAAAATTACACCGTCCCAGGTGAAATTTCACCAGTTTCCTAAGGAAACCAAGTTATTCAGATCCGAATATGTGATCTACTTGATACCATAAATCAGCCATAAATATATGACGCTATATACTACTGATTCTGTAACGTGAGTAGTTGGACTCTCCTCATATGCACCAGTAATGCTTCCTAGTCAGGTGGAAGTGGTCTAACCACCCAATAACTGTTTCAATGGTTTGCGGCTGAGCTCATCACCGGCGTACTCACTTCGACTCAGCTCAGAGAACCGAATTCTAGCGACAGAAGATAGGGGCTAGGAAACAGATCTTTTATTCAGAAAATCAAGAGATATTTACAGATTTTTATGTACATTATTGTTAGCTGAGAAGCAACCTCTTCTGTTTATTTGTTTTCTTGCTGAAGGTTATTCTGTTATCTTTTTGTGGCCGTTTCTCAGAAAATCAAGCCATATATCTGCTACTTATATTTCCCCACGTTAACTCCGCTGTGAGATTGGCTGGCGATTTTCTCAAGGTCAAGCTTTATTATTGTCTTTCTCATGACCCTGATTCGGGACGTGAACATTGACGAAAAATTGTTGTCTGCAATCTTGGCTTGCAGTCAGCTCTCACCACAGTATGATTCGGTCACGATTGAATGGTAGTTTAATAGTAACAGCGTTTTTTTCTTACAGAAACTTTCTTGTCAAAGAGGTATTTTCTTTTTGTTAAAACTGTTTTCAGTGTTAATGAACTCAAACTGAAACGAGGTAGTAAAATGGCCATCTAGTGTTTAGGTTACTTCAGTCTGGCTAACAAGCACTACTGGTGTTTATATGAGTAGTACAGAACTACTTATATCAAACAGTCAGTAGTATATTGCTTCATGCATCTATGAGAATATATATTGTGAAATTACATTAAACACTTTATATTATATCATGAATCGTAACTTTTTTTCCTCGCATGAATTCACATTCATTTCAATTTCTGTTGTTTTTTTTTCTTCTTTCTATCCCAATAAATTCACATTAGATTCAAAAATGTAGACGTTCAAGTTCTTCTGTGCTAGAACCATTAGAAGATATGGTCACTTGTCCAATTGATTTAAATTTTCTAGACGATCCAAGATTATTACCATGTGGTCATGCATTCTGTTGTAAATGTTTAAATAATTATATGGAAAAGCTTCCATCATCGAATCATGGGAATTCAACTCATGGTCATCATAATACTACAAATATTACAAATAATAATAACAATAATCATAACTCACATACCGGTAATCATAATAATGATTTAAAAGAGACTGGGAACGCTTTCCCGTGTCCAATATGTCGAGCATTATGCCCTATTCCAGTGACACGTAAAGCTGACTCTTTTCCAAGTGCTTTTAATCATAAAGCAATTTTAGAATTTCTGAAAAATAATCATATTAATAGTTTTGTTTCACGTATGAATAATGATAATAATGATACGGGTACTACATCAACTGATCCAATGAATAAAACCCCGCCATCAGGTCGTAAAACCTCGATACAAGTTAGCTCGAGAATGTTGAACTATATCGTTGATGATATTGCATCGAAACAACGGGCTGGACGAATGAATGCCTTAGATCGAGCTGTTATTATGGATGAAGTGAATAAACTTCTGGTTAATTTACAACCAGTTGATACTTCTTCACCAATGTCCACTTTAAATCATCATCCGTTAAATGTGAATATATCAAATTCATTAGAGAAAAATGTGAATACTACTCATAATGGTAATGGTTGCAATGGTGGACTGTCACCAACACCACCCACCACCAACAACAATCCAACTGTAAATACAAGCATTACTAGTAGTAATCAAAGTAATCCACGTTCTGGTACACCATCGACTATATCACCGACAAATTCAATACGTCATTTAGGCAGATTTTATGCTGCAGCATCACGTATCCGTAGGATAACGCTTACTTCAATATCTAGTGATTTTATTCAAATGGATAATCCATCTTATGTATTATATCGTGATGCTGAAGGTCTACGTATTATGATGGAGCGTAATGCAAAATTTCATGTTCTCAGTAAAGGTAAAGATTGTTGTATTATGCGACCGGGTGAAAGTTATCAACCGATAGATATGCAAATGTTAACAAGTCATAGTGGAGAGAATTCCAGCGTACAACGATGTACACTGACAACAAATACAAATCGTGATGAATTGGTGCTGTGGCGACAACAATTACACTTTGATAATGATCTCCTATTCAGTCTGCATCATTCATCATCTAGTCATAATCATATAATAGTAATCATAGTAAACATGGTTTAAATCAAATTAGTAGTCAGATAATTGTGGATAATTCAAATCCTATAAAAATTCAATTTTTACGCTTTTATGGTTCACTTATCTATCTGAGTGGAATTATTACACTGAATACATCGAATGCATCCACGGAAGGCGAAAATGGTGGCGGTGATGTTGGTGATGATATAGAAGGATCAGAGTTTGGTATTCTTGTATGTTGTACAATTTCTGATGACACTTCAACGAATGGTTCCACTAGTCATAAAGATAACCAACAGCACCAACAGCAGCAGCATACATCGAATCCATTCCCAATTATAGCCACTTCTAGTTTATTTTATCGTGATGCTGTCGGCTTAGAAAGACAAAATCAACCAATCATCTTTGGGATAGATATCGATCATTCAAATGGGGATATTTATATCGCTCAACCAGCGAATGCAATGATATGTCGTTTGAAATGTAACGATTTAACTAGAATAGATCGTACTTGGTATTTAAATGATCCTCAACTATCACCGTACTTTCTGTGTTATGCTAAAAATGAACAAAGTGTATGGGCTACATGTCCAACTGAGGATAAAGTATTAATTTTAGACATTGAAGTGGATAGTTATTTTCATTTTACACCGAGTGTTTCATTTGGTATTGTTCCAGGCCACATTATATACACATCAGATAATCGGATTATTTTGTTAGATCAATCAAATTATGATTTGTATTGGATTACAAAAATAGAAAAAGCTATTTGTGTTCAACGTCTCACTTTTCAAATTGTTAATCATCAAAGTAAAAAGTGTCAAATTATGGCTATACAACCAGTGTATAATGATGATATGAGTACAAGTCAATATGCTTATTATTCGCTGACTAATCGTCAATTATCACCTACAAACTATAATGATAACAATATTAATAGTAATGGTAATCATAATGGTAATAATAATAAGAATAATAATACCAATCACCATAATAATAATGAGGATAATAACAAGTCGAAATTGTTTACAAAGTCTTCATCGTCAATAGCTGCTTCAATTCATAAACTACGCGGTGGTATTGTCTGTGCTCATAATTATGGATGTTCTGTGATTTATCCACAAAAGTTATTCGCACGTTATAAATTTAATAAAATGTCATCCTGCTTAAATTTATGCGGTAAACTGTAACATTGACATGTTCAATATATTTATTTGTTTATATACTTGTTTGGTTTGATTTGTTTATCTGAAGTGACATGACAACAAGCAAAGCGCCATATTTATATTTGAATTTTATCAACTAGCCAGAAATACTTATATTATAATAACAGTGAAGAGCCTAATTTCATACAAAGGAAAAAAGCATGAAACTACTATTGCATTTATGTTGTGAAAAGAAATTTAATTTTTGTGTAAATTAATTTGTTTCTTTTTTGTTTGTTTGAATGTGTGTGCGCGTGTGCGCGCGCGCGGGAGTTTGAATTTACCGTTACGTGTAACAGTTGACTAATCTTATCTAATACATGCATACACATACGAGAATGTATACATGTATGTGTGCATGTTATGTATTTTCCTGCTTTATATTTCACTGCCTTTCGTTCGCTCTAACACACTCCCATTTTTTTGCCTCTCAATTATGGTGCATTAATACAACAAAACAGATTTTGTTTTGATTTTTAATTATACGTATACATAGTGGTTGTACTTATTTTCATTTTGTCTGTTTGGTTTCTTTTCATATTGTTTTCTCTCGTTCTGCTGTTTGTTGATCGTGATTTCGCTTTTTTTTTAAAAAAATTTATTTATTTATTCAACAAAGCAAGAAGATCAGTGAGAACAATTACACTTTAATGCGTACTGTTATTATTATTGTTGTCATTTCTCATCATTTAAGTCGAATCTACAATCAAAAACGAAGATAAATCTAACACTTTTTTTACATTGATATGATTAAATGTCTGCCGGACAGCTTTATTTCATCTATTCATGCATCTTTCCGTTCATCCATCTGTTTTAAGGCTTTTAAAAGTGTGTTTTATTTCGTTTCGTATACAACAACACAACATAAAATGAAAGAAAACTAGTTTGAAAACACTGGACTTTTTGATTTATAGGGGAAAACTTTTACTATAGTTTGGTTTGTAAGGATTAGTTATGTTTATACGAGTTGATTACGGATTGATGCTCGCTAGTGACTTGCTACAGGATGGAGTTTCCTGGAGTTCTAGTGAGAAGTCGTGACCAGTGAGGTTCAACCAGATGTCACGTGTGAGGATGGATGTCCCACCAACGGCATTGGTTGGGGTCGCGCTAAATCACTAATTAGTAGAAGTTAGAATTCGTGGGATGGCCACTGAATCGGGTCCCAGTGGCTGAATGGTATACAAGCCAGCCTGCCTTGTACCCGGAGGGTCCTGGGTTCAAACCCCTGTGGTGGGTGCGTACCACCGATGATTCCCAAACTAGGATGAAACAGCAGCTGTCCAGTACTCCCTGGTTTTCAATGGTTCTCTAACTGATATCAATCCGTGATCAACTCATAGAAAAATTTTACGCTTCTTTTTTTTTGGGGGGGGGGGCGGGGACGGATACTCAATTTCAAGTGGGAATGTGACTTAGTCAGTAAAGAAAGTACTTGACTTTTTAGTCAACAGGATTTCTTTGTTTGTAATCAGTTATCATCATAGTGTGTAAGTGAGTAAGTAAGTAAGTTATTTAAACTATGTTGAGAGGTCTGTGGGCCTATAGGAGTGTGTAACAGCAGTAAGGTGTTTCGCTTAGATAACTAACAACCCATTATGCTACCTCTTAGCTGTGTTTATTGGCGGTCTGCTTAAATTTGGGCTAAGGGAAAAATCCCATCAGTATTTCACAGATATTTTCTCCCACTCAGTTTATTTAAATCTGTTAAAAAATATGACCTTTAATTATGTTTTATACTCTGGCGAGTATATAGTGTGTTTACAACCTGCCGTTTCTATTTATCGTGAGAAAAAACATAATCATGGGTTGGGGTGTATTGCAATGCATCGATAGATAGCTGGGTTGTGTATTTGGTTAGCAGAAAGGATTCCTGAAACTTTCCTAATTGCCATTCAACCAAATTATAACACAGATTTGGCGAAGAAGTCAAAGGAGAGACAGGTGGGTAGGTGACATGATATAATTTCTTGGTATACGCTTCATGTCAGGCAGAAGTGTTTCACTTGGTCCACCGTCACGTGATTTTTTATTTGAAGATCCTGTCTGGATGAAGCAAAAATATCATGCAGCAAACTGTGCTGTACAAAATAAAGCTATTATTATTATCATTATTTCAAGTGCAAATGTGGCTTAATGGACAAAGTACTTAACTTTCCGTCAATAGGTCCCAGGATCTCGTATTCTCACTCCGCATACTGTATGTACTTTAGCCAATTCAAAACCAATCCTCACACATATAATAAGTGTTACTCGTAGCCTGATTAGAAAACAAAATCAGTTACCGTCATAGTGTGTATGAGGTTTATACCATGATGTAGAGTGTGTGAAGGCGGCGTATAGAGGGGTATAATAGCAGTAAAGTGTTTCTCCTTCAGACAACCAAAAAGTCTCTTAGCTCTGGCGAGGAATGTGGGGGTAGAAAAACTTGACTTCAAAAATTGTACATGCTGATTGACCAGTGACAAGATCCTCATACAGACACAGCTCAACTCTACTCTACTTCAGTTCGAAATGTGGTACACTAGACTATGTGAAGCGATGTTGTATTATTCAGCATTTTTGTGTAGGATATTATAAGTTAGTTGTTAAGAAATTTTGAACTTTAGTGGGTTTTTTGTACATCTAAGAGTAAAGTCAAGCGTCGGTGGTATAGCGGTTAGGACGCTCGCCGACCATGCACATGGTCCGGGGTTCGATCCCCGGCCACCGACGCACTCCTTTACCTCGCTAAACCAGAAATAATGCTAGTAAACAGGGAAGGTTGGGCATGAGGCTAGCAACCCCATCCTGTAAAATAAACACTGCTACAGAAACTTCATGCCACTAGCTTGAAGCCCTATGTTCCACTGGGGAACGTGAAGGACAAAAAAGAGTAAAGTGTAGCTATAACTTTTAGAAAGAGATCTGAAATTCTGTTAATGAACGTTCCACTTGGGAGATATGTAGAATAAATTGATCTGATAGGTAATAATATTCATTCTATAATAAGACATTATACAAACATATCAAGTATATCAACAGAACCTATGCACGAGTGAATGAATATGTGAATTTTAAACTTCATTGAACTCTTTGCTTCAAGCTTTCTAAAAACTGAAATACCGTTTTTAGGGTTAAATGTAAACTAGTGTTGTATGCTAATACACATACGGAGGAATGTGCCGAAATAGGGCGACAGCTAGTTGTTATACTTACATGTATAATAGACAAAAAGATGGGCGTAGAACATATTGATTACTGCCATTTTTTTATTCCTTTACGTTCCCAGTGGTACATAGGGCTTCAAGCTAGAGGCTTGAAGTTTCTGTAGCAATGGTGATTATTTTTACAGGATGGGATTGCTAGCCTCATGCCTAACCTTCCCTCTTTACCAATTTTGTTGCTGGCTTAGCGAGGTAAAGGAGTGCGTCGGTGGCCGGGGATCAAACCCCGGACCACATGAGGCGTGGTTGGCGAGCATTCTACCGCTGTGCTACCGACGCACACGATTACTGCCATTAGCCTTCATAAAATAAGTGTTATTCATATAGCCTGGTGTAAATGGTGGATCTGTTCTGGATGGCTGAGATCGAACCATGCCTACTTAGTAATTACAGTCTCTGTAACTTAAAATGTGATTATGAGAATAGCTTATTTGATATAATCAGAGAAACAGTATATTATACAGATACATTCCTTGTTGTAAAGGCAACATTTGAAAGTATGCTCACAAACACTATCCAATCAGTGTAAAGAAGATGAATGATAGAATTACTCTATTATCATTAAAACTCAATATTGGTACAAGAGATGAACCATGAAAAATCTCGTAGCCTGTGCGAGGGCTGAGATACTCCCCAGACACCCAGACCGAAGCGGGTTATTGTCTTAAGGGGCCACCCTATTAAGCCTTTGATTTCAAGTCTGATCGACAGTGTTAGTAGAGCAGTATCAGGAGCTGCATTCCATATCGTCATTCGGTCCTTTCAGATGCTGAAGCTTTAGAATCAGCGTTTCCTAGCTCCTCTAGGTAAACCAACATGTTTACCAGTCTGGTTGTAAGCGCTAGACGTTTTGTGAGGAACACTCTTGCCGCATCGATTTATTACCAAGGATATTTCTACGAAATGGGCAAAGTGCTTTTGACTTCTGCTAAGCTTTTTACGTCTGTGGTTAAATAGCAGAATGCTCACTGTTCATGCATTTGGTTCGGGTTGGATTCTAGGCCATCTAGTGGCATAAGTGGTCACATTGCAAACTTGACTGTGATAGAATTAAGTCTGCACTAAACAAAGGACTAGACACATTACACTAGGTACTAACTAGTGTCCAGCCAACAGTGTTAACATCTTAATATGACAGTGACTGATTTTTCTCCTGACCATTATCTAAACGACCTTTTTTAGCATGGTTAGGACCTGTCCAGAGAATATTCATCCCAGCCAATGTAGCTCCTTGGATAGTAAGCCTAACCACCAAGGTCATGCTGTGGTAGAAATTTTGATCATTACACAAACTAACAAACCCACTACCAGTAGGGTACAGCAGGTTGAAGATGAGGCAGTAACTCATCGAAGAAGACATTGCGAAATGGTCGCGCTATGTCGTGAATTGGCAGAAGTTACAATTCAAGGACCATTGGATCGGGTCCCAGTGGCTCAATGGTCTACGAGCTGGCTCGCCTTGTAACCAGAAGGTCCTGGGTTCGAGCCTTGTCGGTGGGTGCGTACTGCTGAAGAGTCCCAAACTAGGACGAAACGGCTGTCCAGTACTCCCTGGCTGGTTTTCCAATGGTTCTCTAACTGATGTCAGCTCATGATGAAATCCTCCATGCAATCAAAGCCACTACCATCCGTAAAGAAAAAACAAAACAAAACATAGAAATTAGTATATATTGTCAATATAAATATCATCATCATCACTGTGTTATCAATCACATCCTCATCATCATAGCCAGCATCATGTCGTCGATTAGACGACTGACACCATCGATGTGATCAGATCAGATCAGATCAGAGAAATAAATAAACAAACACAGAAGCAGGCGAGAGAAAAAACAAAAAACAAAAAGTCTTTTTTCCTACTAAAGAAGAAGAAATTAAACAACTGAAACCGGGTTTCTCATACATTGTCACTGGTGTGTTGTCACATCAGAAAAAGAAATAAATAAAGAATTACAATGTAATACACTGAAGAAAGGCCTAGGATAAACAAAAAGAAAGAGGATAGAAGGGAAAAGACGTTTCCACTTTGGTTTCTGTTCAGTCTACTTGATTGTCTAATGATAATAATAATAATACTAATAAGAGGAATACATTTTGTGAAAGTAGTATTACACCCACGAAGAAGATATGTAGTTCGGTTGAGTGGAAAGGCACAAGAAACTAAAATTGTTGGTTTAACAAAATCCAAAATAAGATGACAAATAATAGTCGTAGTTGTAAGTAGTATAGACGAACCTTGACATTACAAACACTAGTCGAATGGGAATGTGTGTTTTTTGTGCGTTGCGTTACAACATTTACAGTTTCTTCCCGTCTCTCTTTTAATATGTAAGTGGGGGAAGATTCCAAAGTAATAATAAAGAAAAGCTCATTTGTGTATTTCCATAATAACAAGTAAACATAATATCTTTACCGAAACTGGAATGTCCACTAGATTTGGATTGGATAGAAACGAAAGACCACAAGAGAGAGAGAGATGACATAATGAAAAATACTCAAATCTAGGTTAAGGAAAAGTAAATAATAATTTTTTTAGAAGAAACACAGTTTTTGACACACAATATCATTGATGTTGGAGATAAGATTTATGCTTTGAGGACAACAGCACTAGTATTGTTTTTAGAAACATTATTATTATCATTGTTATTATTACTGCGGTTGTTATTTCCATTAATTAATTCGTTTATTTTAGATGGACGTTCTTGGAGAAGAGTTTGAGTTTCTGCAAGCCTAAAAAAAGAAGAAAGAAACAAAAATGTATGTGAAAGAAATTCAAATAAGCTTTAAGAATGAGGGATAGCAACCTATCGTGAGGTATTTTCACGCATAGTAGCATGTGGTCCGAGGTTCGATCCCCGGGCACCGACGCACTCCTCCATTACCTCGCTAAGCCAGTAATAAGGCTGGTAAAAAGACAAGGTTGAGCATGAGGCAAGCAACCGTATCCTGTAAAAATAAACACCATTGCTACGGAAACTTCAAGCCTCTAGCTTGAAGCCCTATGTTCCAATGGGAACGTGAAGGAATTTAAAAAAAAGCTATAACAAACACTACAACAGATATTCTTGTTATAAAAATTGTTTAATTTTGCTGAAGAAGCTGTGACTTACACAGCGAAACGTTCAGAAAAATCCGGTTTTGATTTTTTTTCTTAAACACGCTGGGATTATTTTGAATCATTTATAATGAATCAATTTGACTCGGTGCTCAAATTATTATTCCAGGAAATTTGTAAAATCTACGGTCTGTAAAACTTAGATATTCTAGTTGTTTAAAACATAAGTTGATAATAATAACACCCTTAAAATAGCCATACATTGTTACATTTGATATAATTGGTTACAGCATTCCCCTCTAAGCAAGTAATACAAAATTAACTATATGAGGAAATTCAAATCTTAATTGACCTCTTTCGTTTTACTTCTTCAAGTGTAGTGAGACGAAAGCGCGGCAAGTTCCTTTTGCAATAACCAATATCCTCACTTAAGCTTTCACATAAATGGCATATATATATACATTAGGGAGTAATATTAAGGTTAGGTAGACAGTGTTCACTAAGAAGGGAAAGTCAACCGATGGCTACATATACCGAACCATCATCTTCCCCGTCGGGCAATGTTAGCTGACACAAGATTAGGTTGGAGAAAATGTAAAGAGTGGGCAAACTAAATCATGGCATTAATCCAAGAAGTCTTTCACAGCTGGTTTGATCCATACGCGGGGAAGTGTAGGCTGTTTAACTCGAGTTGTCGGGATTGTTCATGAAACCGCACGAAATCGTTCGGAATGCCGCAGATACAGCTTCACCCTTTGTGATGTCCTAGATTGATTCAAACATCATTCTCCACGGATGGCTTTGGATTGTCAGACTGCTACTGACGTGACTCCAGATGTCTAGTATATATCACTAGGTTGGTAATTTGAAGGCCATTGGTTCAAATCCTGCCGGGACGCAGACTTTCATTTTACCTTCAGTCATTACAGCCTTACAGTATATTTAGTTAACTACTCAAAAAGTGTCGTTCTCATATCAAATGAATTTACTAAGTACTTTTCACATTTTAATACTGAAATAAAGACTTATGAAGTGTAGTTGAATATAAACTTCTATTAGCATTAACTTGGTGTAATTGTGCTCTCTGCGCTTGATTCTTTAATTGGGAAACCTTGGTTGTCTTTCTAAACAACATCTTCAACTCTGATTTTAGATTGGAGCTTCACAATTTAACGATCCAGCTGAGAGGGCACAAATACACTAATACAAATCTTCTCCATCATTTCTAAACACAGTATGTGCTGTGTTGCAAACTCGTTAAGGGTAAGAAAAAGATGTAGCACACATTCGAAAAGTCATTGGCTGTCAGTTGAAACAATGCAGGAAGGTGTAAAATTTGGCTGTGGTCTCCAAACGTTTTCTGTAAGGAGTGAGAATACTATCTGATTGCCCAGACCTCAATAAATGTAGCAGGTTTTACGTCCGTAAGTAATGTAGTGGATGAAACTTGAGTCATTAAATCTGTCTTCTTACCCTTAATTTTCCCTATAGCCATTAAATTGCTCCATTTGTATTTCTCACTATCTGTAACTGTGGTTACTTCCTAAATACTTTAAACTGATGAATGATTTTACTGATTGTCAAGGTGATAAAAAATCTGTCTATGTCCAGCATTGCTATAGAGTGTTCTGACAGTTGTTGCTTCAAAACGATAAGTGAGAGTTGATTAGTTGGAAAACTTTGTATGTTTGTGGAAGTATGTGGGCATTTGTTACTCCCCCAGCTACCCACACCATGGAATTTGATTATTTTTCTTGGGGTATCTGAAACCGAAGTAGCATTAGTATTGAGCGGCTACAGAGGCCAGAGGACAACTTGCTTGAGGCTTGTCATACACTGGCCATTTTGAAGTGGTTTTCGGAGTTGCATCTGTATTAAGATCTTACCACCGGCTATGGACCAACACCACAAGGTAAATCGGGATGTGAAATTTCCGGGATCGGAATTTTCTAAACCTCCTTCTTAAGAGTGGAGAGTCATCTTAACTGGCCTGCTGGTTATCCAAGGGAAACATCTTACTGATATGTTACATCCCCTATATCCCCAACAGTACAACTTTGCCCGTATTACCCCCAACATAGTTAAAACAAATTACACTATGATAGTAACTACGTTTAGCCTAATAGCTGTGCAATCATCAGTTCCAATCAGTGTAACTCGTCGGGTCATTACGATACGTTAGCCCGACTATCATATCAAGGTGACACCTCTCCCCCTGGTTATGATTAGATGTTAGAGTAGGTTGCATTGATTACACATACAGTCCACTAGATCGTGTTACCAGTAGCCATATCACACAACCTGCGTCGGTGGCATAGTGGATAGGACGCTCACTGACCATGCACATGGTCCGGAGTTCGATCCCCGGCCACCGCTAAGCCAGAAATAATGCTGGTGAAGAGGAAAGGTTGGGCATGAGGCTAGCAACCCCATCCTGTAAAATAAACACTGCTACAGAAACTTCAAGTCACAAGCTTGAAGCCCTATGTTCTACTGGGGAACGTGAAGGAAAAAAAATCACACAACCAATAATATACATAAATCTAAAGTAAAAACCATGAGTAACTCGACTTAAACATAGTGCCAGCCAATAAAATAGAGACCATCAAAAAGAAAAGAACACTCACATATTAGTGATACGTTCCACTTGAGCAAGGTATGACTTTTGTACTTTTTCAGTATTTGCTATTTTTGTTCTATCAAGTTTACTATTCAGTACATTGAATGATATTGAAGGTGTTACTTTCAGGTGATTACAATCCATTGCATCAGCTGTTTCACAGGTAACAGAACAATCAGTAGGACTAGAACGATGAGCGTAATTACCGCCATGGAGGGGATTAATTGCATTTCGACCAGTTGATGTAGGACAACACACAGTAACATCTGATTTTGTATCTAAATTCATCAGCGAAGTACTCATAACTACTGGTGAATTAGACGATTGGTTCACAGTTCTCAAAGAATCGTTATATTTCATCACATGCATTGATTCAGAAGTTTCTGGCTGAAAGAAAAAGTGAAAAGTGACAAAATAACAGAACAGAAAATGATATTCACTCACCAAAAACCGTTAATTACTTTAATATTTCATTTGTTTGATAATTCCCATTGTAACATTCAGAACACAATATTCAGCAAAGAGACGCTTTTCAACAACGAATTTATTATCAAGCTGTACAATCGTATGTATGTATGGCTTTTAAGAAATGATATCCTGTGAGGATATAAGGAAAACTATATTAGATCAGGCTTCAGATATGCTCAACAATAGTCCTCCTAAATTAGTCAGTAAGACGTTCTTTGCTGCAAAACTAGAAAGCCGTTTTCCGTCTCTGTAAAAGATAAGCTCCTTCATCTGGAAATTTAATCAAAGGAGTGAATATAAGTATAAAACTTGAACACTGTGATAGAGTATAACTCCATTATGGATAAGATTTTAATTTGATAAATCACATAGTGTTACACAGTAATGTTAACTGATAACGTTTCGAGCACGAATTATTGCTCATAATCATATTAAGTTACTCACTCACACAACTTTTTTACTCGATTTATATACATGTGTGGAATTGATGATTAAATATTTGAATAAAAATCAATATAAGATAATGTACATTCAGAAACAATAGTACGAGTGTTATTGATCAATTACAATCATATGGGCGTCGGTGGCACAGCGGTTAGGACTCTCGCCGACCATGCACATGGTCCGGAGTTCAATTCCCGGTCGACGCACTCCTTTACCTCGCTAAGCCAGAAATAATGCTGGTGAAGAGGAAAGGTTGGGCTTGAGGCTAGTAACCTAATCCTGTGAAAATAAACACTGCTACAGAAACTTCAAGCCACTAGCTTGAAGCCCTATGTTCCACTGGGGAACGTGAAGGAAAAAAAGCAAAAAAACAATCAGATGGGAAATAAGACAAGTGTTTTTATAGTCATAATAAGTTACTTGTTAGAATGTTGTGATGTGCTTGAATTGAAATAGAATTTTGAGATTATTTATTATCCTCTGATTTGACTGGCGGTAATAATATTTTCCATATTTCTGGTATTTGCATTGAGTCATTTCTGTTGCATGTGTTGGGTGTAGACTCAATGAACAAGGATTCCGTAATCAACCTATCTATCTTAACCCTTACCCACCCTATTGTGTGGTTGTTTGTTAATGCATGCAGTGCAATCGCTGAGCTTTTTCTAAATTACTTATCTTCTCGGGGTCAACCATTCTTACCTTAGCTAAATTCTTATGTTCTGATAATCTGACTACCCCCGACCTACTAGTTTGACCTAATTCACAGTCATTACAAGGTATTTTGTAAATTATATTATTTTGTCTAATTGGGTCAAATGACGGGGTCTTTAACCTACAGAGCTTGTCTCTGAGTGAGTTTGTAGGTTTAAATGCCACCCTAATTCCCGTTTTATTAAGAATCCTACGTAGGGTCTCAGATGTCCCCCCCTTATATGGTATAACGGTAGATACCTTATATTCTCTCTTATTTATGTTATCACTACTAGTTTCACAATTATTTTTATTTTGCTTTTGGCCTTTTTCGATCTTCCTAATGAATTTTATAGGATAGTAGAATAATAATAGTAGTATGAAATGCAATTAAATGTTTGTGATTGTAATCATAGTTAAATGTCAAGTGGCAAAACAAATAGTGCCATCTATAGAATAATTCATAAGATGTGCAGATGTTGGGAAGGGGTGTATAATTATAAGATTAGTAGGCTAATATAAAACGTTACATAACATGGTGTGAAATTTAATAAGATAGAATTCAACATTGCAAAAAAGTTTAGAATGACAAGTGGGAGAAGTGAATTAGTACCAGAAAAAGTTCAAAGTAAGAGTAGTAACAGTAACAATAATAGTAGTCGTAGTAATGAGGGAAAGGTACATAAACATAACAAATTAAAAAAATAAACAAAAAGTATAGATAAATAAATAAATGTTTATCGCTCTACGACCACGGCTGCAATAGGAATTGAGCATACTTGTTTTGTACACAAAGGTCTGGCTTAAATTCATGAATGGCCCAGGCCTCCTCTGTCTTCAGAAGTTTAAAACGAAAAAAAACGCGGCAAGTTAGCATGAATTCGAAAGATGATCTTAAAATCATGGTCATGGTTGGTAGAGCGACAGAAGTCGACCAAGTGTTCTAGAATAGAGCTTCGCACACCCTTCCTTTTTCCCTTGTAAAACCATACTGGAATATATTCTCTTACCCTTGTGGAAAGCGTTCTCTGGCTACGGTCAATATACCTTGCTCTAGAAGAGCAGGTGAACCGATAGATTCACATAGAGGCGGTTAGACGAGGGAGCTTATCTTTTACAGAGACGGAGAACAGTTTACTATAGGGTGGTTATTTCCAGTTTTGCAGCACAGAATGTCTTACTAACTGATTTAGGGGGAACGATTTTTGAGCATATCGTTGGAAAGAGTATCTTCGCTGAATAGTGTTCTGAAGACATTTGTGAAAAATTATATTTGTAATATCTCAGCGATATTGAAACGAGTAATTCCAACGTTTCGTTCGGAAATCTGGTCCGAACTTCTTCCGGGAAATTAATCAAAATTAACATAACAGAGGTTTTATATATAAAAGGCACATCTTTTGTTTCTAAAAACTTTGTCCAATCATGATTCATAAACACAAGTATTAACAAGTATAATAAACAAAATTGTATGAGCTGTGATCAAAATTTGACCTCGGACTTACAAATATTGGTCTACCTTTGTTAAACACTTTAAACAGAGTGTGCATGCGTGTGTGTGTGCAAACAGTTGTAAAACATTTCTTAACGTCTCCATAAGAAGATATAGACAGTCAGGAATTTGACCAAGTATTATTAATTAGTGATACATATCCATTTTTATTTATTAATAAGGATTTCCTATGCGTCAGCTAACATCAAACCTTCATGTCCGTTCAAACTGCTAGTATCTAGAATTTTATGATTAGACGTATTTTCAAAATTATGGTGTTTAGGATTAGAGTTTAGTTTAAGCACCCTGTAGAACTTATTGCATTCTCCTCTTTCTGAATATTGAGCTGCTTTATTCGACCTACTGGAGTTGTCAGGTGACTCGACAGCTACGGATTTAGGATATGCATTCTGTTGCAGACAACGGAGAGTGAAAACATGATGATTGTGCCAATTACACAGTTTCTTTGTTACTTTAATTCGATTGCAAAATAATTCAAATGAACTGTCGTCAAGATTTGACAGAATAGTTCTAAAATATTCGGGCGCCGAGTGAGAAGTAGACATTTGTACAAAATTATATTTGTAAAATCTCACCTTTAGTATTCTGAGTTGCACTTATACAAATTAATGAATTTTTAGTAAAACATGTTGTGTGAAAAGGAACTTTACTTATCACGTCATAAATCAACTTATTGATTTGTTGTGCTTCTGATTAGTAATCAGTTTGGTCATGTTCTGGTTCAGATATTGATTTTTATTCGAATATCTAATCATCAATTCCACTCATGTATATAAATTAAGCAAGAAAGTTGTGTGAGTAATGCCTTGATATGATTATGAGCAATAGTTTGTGCTCGAAACGTGGTCGCATCAGTTAATATTCCAGTATAACACTGTGTGATTAACCCAAAATAAAATCTTATCCATAAGGTCATTTACTAGCTGCACACAAAATGAAGATAATTCAAAGGTCATATATGAAACAATAACTTTACTCACTCACTCCCTCACTTTATCGAATATGAACCAGAACATGACCAAAGTGATTACTAATCAGAAACAAAACAAATCAATAAGTTGATTTATGACGTGTTAAGTAAAGTTCCTTTTCACACAACATGTTTTACTAAAAATTCATTAATTTGTATAAGTGCAACTCAGAATACTAAAGGTGAGATTTTACAAATATAATTTTTTTTACAAATGTCTACTTCTCACTCGGTGCCCAAATATTTTAGAACTATTCTGTCAAATCTTGACGACAGTTCATTTGAATTAGTGTTCTGAATGTTTGATTTATATATTGAACCGGACTTCCTTAGTCACAGTTGACATGTCAGTGTTCCACTATTTCAGTACTCACCAGTGACCAAATAACATCATCATCATCTTAACCTTCAAACATCATTGAAACTCCCGGTACTAGAAGCCGACATATCAGCAGAGACACAGAATTTTGGTCCAAAATAAACCGATGAACGGGAAAAATATGAAATAACTCCAACAAATATAAATAATAATAATAATAATAAATGAGAACACATAATATTAATACAATATAACACTAACTCGATTGTGCAATTCACAACAATTCTCATTGAAATTATACGATTCATAAAGTGGATTAAAGGTAGTCGGAGCAATTCTAATCGGTTGATTATTATTACTACTGCTGCTGCTAATACAAGAAGGATTTTGATGAATAGGTGAAGCCTGTGAAATACGCTGTTGTTCTTTTTCTGCAATATTTTTACATAAAACTGAAGGATTATTACTACCGATGTCTTGTATATTCGCTTGTGTTAATTCAAAAGAATATTTAGGCCTTAGATAAGATGATTCAGACAGTTCATTGTTAGTATCATTGAAGAGATAACGTTCTGGGCATATAGGACGCATGTAGCATGTATTACTTGTTGTTGTTGTCTTGGTCGCTGTTGTCATCAATGAAACTGTAGTTGCTGTTCCGATTGTACTTGTCCATTGGGCTTCATTCAATGTATTCTCCAATATAGAGGTAACTGGTGTGGCAGACAATGAATTAGGTAGATTTATTATAGGCAGAGGATTCTTCTGTTCACCTTTTCTATTTGGAAATACACTACTGTTACACTCAACAATACTATCTGAACTATGCAAATCACCTACATTCAAGTTACGTCGATTCATATCATATGTACGCTAAAAAATCAATAAAAAACATAACGAGGAAGGGGTAAAAACTAAACATAATAAATAAAAAAACACGAAAACTGTATTGTTATTTTAACCATAAAAAACACCAAAAAATAAGTGAAGCTGTGGCTCACTCGTCTAAGTGTTCAACTTTCAACAACTAATTGGGTCACAGGTTCGAACCCCGCAACATCATCACATACTGAGAGGTTCAAGCAGTCAGGTGGTACCACCCACTACTAGCCCTTACATGTAATAGGTGTGGCTAATAGCCCGGTACGTCGCTGTTACAGCGGTCGAGTTCTGGCCGACCGTCCACGTTATCGGGGATTCAAGTCCCGGTCGGCGCACTTCTTTACCTTCCTTAACCGGAGGTTAGCCGTGAAGCTAGCAACCCCACCCCGTAAAAAACACCACTACTACTGAAACTTGAAAGCGAAAGATTGAAGCCTTATGTTCCACTAGGAACGCAAAGGAATAAAAAACATAGCCCAGTACCGCATGGAACCACAAAGTGGTTGTTGAGTAAGATTTCTTTTCTTTTTTTTAATGAGCAATAAACAGAAGTACAACTTTTCATAAGCCACTCAGATCCACTGAGCACAACAGTCATTCACCAACTTGATAGGAAGCGGTTGCAATTAGTAATCAGTAATTTAAGCTAGTGGTTGCAGTATTCACCTTGTGATGATTGAATCACCCTGACTTCAATGTAAAATCTCATCATCTTATTTTTAACCTTGGTCCTAGGCCAATTGCCGACCAATCAGAATAATCTATTTTCCACTGACCTAGCTAAATTTTAATGTGGTTAGAAATATATAAATATGATGTACTTTTTTCTAATAAAGTTTTTATCCTAACAATCCCAGGTCAGTCTTTGTCTTTTGATGTTTTACGTGGCTCAGTGAAGAGAAAAGTTTATTATTTAAACGCAGAAGAAAAAAAACTTGGTACAATATGGCACCAAGAAAGATGCGCCACACAATAATAATAAAACAACATAGATTAAAAGTAAAAATATAATTAGAAAACGGATAAAGAACTTCATCTGGAAGGAAAACAGTCAGTTTAACAAGTTCAAACAGTATTCGTTAACTATCATCAGGAAGGGAAGAAAGAAGGAAATTACAACACGTTCTCCATTGATTACGATTCTCGGCTATATCCGATAACGTTTCGAGCCATCGATTTGAGCTATCTCGCGGACCCCAACCAGAGAGTCGTGACGCACCAACCGATGCTAATCTAGCACAGAAATCCTTCATCCCACGACGCCACATCATGGACTGACCACCCCTCCGCCTTTTCCATCCCGTCCCAGGGCTAGCAAACAGAGACCTGCACGAAAGCCTCTGGGATGACATTCACAGCACATGTCTAAGGCACCGGAGCCGGTGTTTCCAGATAACGACACTCAATGAATGGTGATCTCCACTGTGTTCAAACACACGCCGCCAAACCTCAGAATTACTCACGCGATGATGCTGTGGAACGCAAGCAAACCTACAGAGACAGCGATGATGGAATACGCAGAGTCGCCGCACATTCTCAGCTCGGAGAGACCAGGTTTCACAGGCGTAGAGCAAAACAGCCCACACCGAAGCACTGTAAACCCTACCTTTGACAGCCAGGTTAATGGTGCCAGAGGTGGCTCAAGTTGACGTATGCCACCCTAGCCTTCACTATACGGTTGGAAATCTCACCTGTCACCTCTCCGCCAGCACTCACACAACTACCCAGATACACAAACTTATCAACAACTTCAAGCGGTTCACCCGCAAGAGTGAGTGCAGGTACAGGCTCCTGCCAATCTTGTAACAGTACTTTGTACTTAGACGGCGCAAAGCACATATCATACTTACAAGAGAAAGGTACTCTCAGGACGAATAGGCGTATCTAGCATATTAGTTGAGTTGCTCATTGCATTCAGTGTTATTTTACCGACGTATAAGCAAGTTCACTCGGAACGCAACGAGATGAAGAAAAAAAAAGGGAACGAAAACACAAAGCAGACAAAACTCACCTACTCCACCCCCTCCTCCGCCTCCGCCACCATCATAAGTTTTTGATCGATTATACATGTTACAATCTATATCAACATTCGCTAATTTATCCTCTAATTTATTCATACGTTCTAGCATGCAATCAACTTTATCAGACAGTTGATCCAATGAATTAATTATATTATGAATACTTTCAGGATTAATGTAGGCAGAAGATTCATTAGACGGATAGCAATGATGATGATTTATTGATTGAATATTAGGATGCCTTGGAAGTAATGTAGACGTTGGCGTTATCGCTGGACCACCAGTTGATGTCACTGTTGTTGTAGATAATCCATGAGTATAATCTTTTTTAAATTGTTTTGAATTATGCAATAAATCATCAGTATTAAAGGATGATTTTGCAGGCGGAAATGCTGATGTGTAACTGATTCTGTTATTACTGATACTTCTACTTCTAGCACCATTGCTAGGAACAGTTGTGACGTAGTAGTAGTAGTGGTAGCAATTGGCAGTGTACACTTGTGATTAGATAATTTTGTACATTTATTACTAGTATAGAGGTTGTTATTTTCAGAAATACTTAAATGAGGCTGATGCTGATGATATGAATGTTGGCATTGATCATTGTCATACTTTTCAATGTAGAGGTAGGCAGTTGATGATCACATTCACCACGGGTATTAGTATCACCGTACTATAGAGAACAAAAACAAAACAAAACACGCATGGGTAATTGATAAGAAATAAACAAATCATTTTTCAATGTTGTGTCAGGATGAAAACTAACTGACTGGTTTCAACATTTTGATTTTGATTTACAGCTTGATTCCACACCGTATTTTCAGTACAAGTGTGGAATTTTCAGCATGGATATCGGTAGCCCAAATTCAGGCCGACCATAGATATCGGGTGTGCGCCGGCAGGGGATCAAACCCCGGACCATGCGCATGGTCGGCGAGAGTCCTAACCACTGTGCCACCAACGCACAGATATGCAACAGTTCGAGTTGCCACTCTCCATACAGTAAATTATCTCCACCGTCCTTAAACACCACCACCTCTGAAGTCATTCCATCAGGTCCCCCAGCTTTGCCTCGTTTCAGATTAGTGACAGCTTTAGTAACCTCAGTTAGGGACAGAGGACCTGTGTTTATATTCCCATTCATAGAGATGTTGGTTGCCCAGTAAGCTGAGCGTGGCTGTAGGCCAGTTAAATTGGTCCTCAAAGTGTTGTTTTCAATGTTCCAATCGTCTATCTTGAAAGCTAATAATGGTGACATTTTCCTCGAAGATTGTTTCACTTAATATCTGCCTTTTGCCACCTGTTTCTCTGATAAGCCTAAATAGTTATCTGTTGTTACCTATCGCTGATGGCTTTTCCGTCTATTTCGTTTTTGTCACCCACAAAAACTGTTCACGATAGTTGTGGAAACTTTTTTCTCAGTTTGCGTTTGAGCAGCTTTCGCTCCTCCTCATCATATTCAGAGCTCACTGGAATTAATCTTCGTGCATCCATCAGTTCGGATAACGTAGTAGAAATCCACTGGCTTTTACTAACTTTTAGTTTTAGGTTATTAACAGCCTTTACAATGTTTGAACTCAGTTGACTAGAACAGATTTTTCATGTACCAGACTGTGCACCAAATGTATTTTGTGTGACGGCTGATGTAGCTGGTACGGGAATTCAACTCGGGACACATTGTATGAAAAAGTTCAATGCTTCAGAAATTGAGCCATATATCATATGTAGATTGTTTTATTTTATTTCCATTATTTTTAAGTTTGTTAGTATCTTTACTTACCTCAGTTATTCTTTTTACAGCTTAAAATCCTAAGTATATAAGCACCATTTTGCGCCGCTATTTCATTACTTTCAGAAAACTATCTTCAATGCATTTTCTAGCGGTTATTATGACACCACGTGTCACGTTTAAGCTTCTCACCTACAACATTCATACATTGGCGCAAATCCGACAACAAGTAGGTTTTTCCAGAAAGCCTAGAAAGCTTTCTTATGGATATATGTTGCATCTCAGAGACCTGCTAACAAGATCCCAGCTAAGTAGTTCAGATGATTTCTATATTCTTCAGCGCAAATAGTATGTTTCATGCACACCTGTTAGGTGCTCTGTGACATTGGCGTTTGGCTTAGTTGGTACCGGTGCCACACTACATGCTAGTTTCGAGGTTGTACTACTCGATTGGATATTTATTACGTTATTTATGTGATTGCCACACTAACATCATGATGATGCTAGAGGTGACCTAGCTTGGATTTAGCCATGCGATTGTCAATTTCACTAGTTTCACCTCTGTTAGAGCACATACTACCATCAAAGTGAATGAAGTTTTTGACTGCTGCTAACAGTTAACCCACATAGGTGAATGGGAATACAAGCTTATACTAATCTTGAAACTGATTAGCGCTGAACATACACTATGCTTGTAGATGTTAACCTCCAACTGTTTAAGTGCAGTTTTGCTTACCCTGTATGTTATTTCACAGTAAGACAATGCTATTTGAATACTTAAGATCGATTAACAACCTAGAAAGACGAAAACCAGTTTGAGAAACGGTGTAGCCGACCCACAGTTCTACTATTCACAGTGTCTCATGGTCAGTTGACTTCGATTCACCTAAAAATGCGGAGTTTTGAAATGAACATCAATCACTACTACTCAAGCAACAACTTTCTCCCAGCTGCTTTTAATGATTTCAGGTTGATTTCGGTCAAGTAGGGGAATGACTATATTGTTTAGGGAATTATGCGAGACTGAGTATCACATCAAAAAGGTAAACATTATGCCTATCCTTGTAAAGAGCATACGTAATGCATGTGATAGATAACTTGTAAGTAATGCCAACGATGTATGTCCCTAAATAATTGGTCCCATCTTGGAATCCAACTTCGGTGACTTAGATATGTATTACGCATGTCAACCTCAACAGCTATCCTGAGATTAGATGGAAGAAGAAGAAGGGAAGCAGTCAGTTCATAAATTCAAACTGCAGAAAAGAAGGATAGCTGTGATAGGTTAGCATTTGTCGGTGCACCACGACTCCTTGGGTAGGTCCTGAGAGATTGTGTCGACTAAGTGATTCACAACGTCTTCAAATATAGCTCAGACTCCAAATTTGTGGAGAACTTTGAAGAATTCAAATACGTTCAATGGGCAAATTTAAAAACAGGTTTATAGAAAGACTGTATATATCATGTGGCAAAGGGTTTTGTAATTTCTACACCTAATTATGCCTCGGCAGGACTTGTTTTTAAGTTCTTCAAAAGATGAATTACGTCAATTACATGAATTCTATTTTATCATGGTGTTGTATACCACCCCAGAACTAAGAGAAGTTAGTCAAAAGGCGGTTGATTCATATAAGTGGGGTAACCACTTGGTCAGTTGTGAGAACTTTGCTCCACTTACCGAGATAGCGTTGTCTATACTCACATGATAGATGTGGCACATTAGCAAGCGAATGTAAATCGAAACGGTTGTTCAATGAAATTTAACTAATTTATTTCAAATAATAAGCACTGTTATTGATCAACTCACTTCTTAAGTTCTTAAAGCTTTTTGTTGCTTTTAGTTTTACATTTATACTACTACTTTTCTCAGCTTATTACAACTTTTACTTAGTACAAAAAAGTGAACACTATGGAGTTTAAATATAAGAGCATACAACAGCTATTATTAATGCACTGATATAAGTTAGAGAACCAGTGAAAACCAGCAGGGAGTACTGGACAACTGTTTCATCCTAGTTTAAGAATCGTCAGCGGTACGCATCCACTGGGGTTCGAACGCAGGACCTCGAAAAACCTCGAAAACTAATCTGACGCTTGCTAGTGACAAAGTCGCCTGGAGTTCTAGTGAGAAGTCGTGACCAGTGAGGTCCACTCAGATGTCACGTGTGAGGATGGATTTCCTGCCGATGACATTGGTTGGTGCCGGTCGCGCTAAAAATCACGAATTGGTAGATGTTACAATTCATGAGCTGGCCATAGAATCGTGTCCCAGTCGCTGAATGGTATACAAGCTTACCTTGTAACCCGAAGGTCCTGGATTCGAACCCAAGTGGGTACGTACTGCCTATGATTCCCGAACTAGGATGAAACAGGTGTCCAGTACTCAAGTGCTGGTTTTCAATGGTTCTCTAACTGATATCAATCCGTGGTCAAACTCGAAAAACAAAACCAATCCTTACAAATCAAATCCTGTCCATAGTTAGTTAGAATGCATTCTTCACCTAAACTGCATTCATATAGCTACAGACAAAAAAATCCTGATCAATTGTATGCAAATGACAAGAATGTTGCGACAAAGTTAAAAAAATCAGTCCAGCCATTTATCAGTAGATCACACACAGACAAACAGTAAGACTGAAAAGTTCTCATTTCAGCATAGTTATGGACATGAAATTCAGAAAATCCTCATGATTCATGCGTACGTTCCCTTACATTATAGTTTCTTGAGTTTTTTTATCTACACCTTAGTGTAGAGTTGTCATCTGAAGTGATGACAACCAGTAGTATTCGTCAGGAATGGATATGACTCTAATCTAATTTAGAGGCTTAGGGGGTTTGACTTGTTGTTACCAGAGTACAGTTTCGTCAACTTAGAATATACAGATAATATTGTCCTTGTATCTAGGTGAAAACCTTGACAAAATACAGGGTCTTCTAAACCACCTGGAGCAGAAGTCTCAGTATGTTTAGCATGCAATAATCCGCTCCTGTCAAATGCAAGATGACAATGCAGAACTGATCTGTACACTGACTCCCAGTTTAAATATAGAGAGTGGAGTGGTTGAACTTGTTAACTAAGTGCCGTAGACCTGATATCAGGCTACCGATATGTACTGCATAGCAGTTCGCTCTGTTCTTCTCTATGACTGTGAGATGGGGCCGTAAAAGTGAATGATATCAAGAGATACCTTTGGTCTATCTAGGGTATTGAGCGGTGTAATGTGGTGATTAATATGGAGGATTAGGAGTAGTATTAGGCAAAAAGGGGAGGTCAGCCGTTAAGGTTGTGAAACTGTATCGATTAAGATGGCTAGAACACGTGTTACGCTCATCTTCCTAGATGAGCAATGTTAGCAGTGACATAGGGATCAGGTTGGAAAAGGATTAGGGAATATCAAATCAAAACTTGGCATCAATCCATCGAGTCTTTGACTGTCAGTTTTTAGCCAACCACGTAAGGGAGGGGCAGACCGACTGGTTGGGGTTCTCGGATCGCGACAAGAACCAAAGACTTGAGAATGTTCAATGACACCAATGCATTCAGTCTTTGTAATCTCTCGGATCCGTGAGATCGTCATGTTTTTCCGTGTTACTATTCTTTCGCCCGTTCTTTTGAATTTTTTTTCTTTCTGTGCTACATGAAGTGTGTCAACTTGAACTGCTGTACTTTGGTGCATAAACAGAGTAAAAGGTTTACAGTGAACATTGAAAATTATGTTAATATGACTTCAACTTCCAATTTAGACTTAACGTTTTCACCACGTACAGATTTCTTTTAAGACAAGCATACATTATGATTTAGGCACCAAGTATTGAAAAAAATTTTTTCCTTCACGTTCACCAGTGGAACATAGGGCTTCAAGCTTGTGGCTTGAAGTTTCTGTAGCAGTGTTTATTTTACAGGATAAGGTTGCTAGCCTTATGCCCAAACTTTCCCCCTCACCAGTATTATTTCTGGCTTAGCGAGGTAAAGGAGTGCGTCGGCCGGGAATCGAACCCCGGAACATATGCATGGTCGGCGAGCGTACTAACCGCTATGCCACTGACGCCAAGTATTGAAAAATAAAAGACCTCATCACATTGGCTTCAGTATTATATCATCTCTCTTGAAATAACAGAGGAGATTTATAGCTCAGGTGGATGATTTTGAATTAGTTGTGTTCTCTGAGCTAGTCGATTTAGTTGGGATGCTTTCATTGTTCCGACGAATTTATCAAGAAACACATGACAAAGAAAGCGGAAAACGACTACTCATTATCCATAAACAAGAAGCCTTTATACATACGACTATAAATTCAAGGGTGATATATCTAACGAAATAATTACGAAGAAGTTAAGAAAATCAGTTCAAAAAACTTTTAATGCTGGCAAACTACATGTCCTATTCTCTACACGACCGATGGTGATTCCTCGACTGATAGATGAAGTACCTAGACAAGCCACTACCAATTCAACTGCGCTTGTGGAGCGAGTTATTATGGCCGTTGCTCCAGAAACTTGATTTTTCGTGCTCGAGAACATATTCCAGTATGGCTAAGTAACGGTGTAGTAAAAACCAAAACGGCCACAAACCTAGTATTGAAGAATCCTTCTCTATCATCTACCGGGTACCAAATAAATTGCTAAAAACATCGATGTACCGCATACTTCAAACAGCAGAAGCTATCGCGATTCGCATGAAACAACCAGTGCTTTGTGTGCAAAAGAAGCAAGTCCAGCCACTACTATTGCTATGGCCTTCAGTCAAGACTATAAATTCATTAATTTGTATTATTATCTTTCCTAATTCTTCTGACATTCAGTTTATTGTTATGTTGATGCTATTGAACTGTAATCTATTGATATTATTGATTCGATGTTATTTAAACAGCATTAATGTTGTTCATAACACTAACTCATTCATTTACCAATATGCATATATGGCTGTAGAAACTGATGACGAAGTCATCGAAAAGAATATTCTTTGTTCAATAAAAATGATCAATAGAGATGTAAATCAACTACCAGTCACGAAGATGGCTGTCAGGAGACACAATTACAACATTCATGGAGAATTCAAATGACTTCATTTTACACTAAAACATGCACTGAGGAAGTTGTCCAGAAGGATGATGAAAACTTCCCAGCTAAATCGACCAGCTCAAAGAAAACACAACTAATTCAAAATATCACTTCTAACTCCACTCAGTTGATGCCTTTGAAAATGCTCCCAAGTAGTCCGTTTATGACATGATTTAGATTCTGCATTCGTTAACGTATTACTGCTTCCTCTTGAATAGAATGTAAGAAATTATAGAAACTCAAGTTTCTCTCTGGTCTGGATTCAATATAGAACTTGGCACTCAAAGTGCAGCAGTTCGAGTTGTCACGTTCCAAATAGCACACAAAGGCAGACAAAAAGATGAGTGAAGAGAATCAATACAGTTTTGACAAGTATAAGAGTGAAACAGAATGAGTAATGGTAGAAAGGAATATGAAAGATTACAGAGACTGAATACATCTGCGTAAGCCATTGACAACGATTTTGAGCCATGTCACCTTTTGTCTCGCGCCATTGATTCTTAGAGTCCCGAGGGTGGGCCCCAACCCGGAAGTCTGCATCTCCCTACCTGACCCAGTTTAACTGTCAGGGATTTCATGGATTGATGTCATGTTTTTGTTTGGCCACCACTTACTCTTTTCCAACCTGCACCTATATCAGCTAGTAATGCCCATCGGGGTGGGGGAGGCGATGGTTAGGCATGCGCAGCACGTCACCTAGCCATCTCAATCTATGTAACTTTATAGCCTCATCGATTGATTTTCCCTCTTTGCCCAACACTCTACGCCTAACGTCAACATTACTTACCTTATTATGCCATCTAACGTGAGAAAGAAATAGTAGACATCTATGATCAAAAACAGTCAACCTTTTCATGTCTTCAACTCGTATTGGCCATGTTTCAGAGCCATAGTGAAGGACGGAGCGAACTGCTGAACAGTATACACGTCCCTTGGTTGATAGCCGGATGTCACGCCTACGCCAGAGATGGTGTAAGTCAGCGAAAGCAGCCCGAGCTTTTTGGATCCGTGCTGAGATTTCGTTGCCAATCAGTCCGTTGGTGCTTGATACAACTGATACAACAACAGGTGAAGTGGTCAACATGTTCTATCACTTCACTCCCTATCACTAAGCTAAGAGTTGACGTAGTCCAATCATGTAGCAGCGTCTTACATTTTACAGGGGCGAATCGCATGCCAAACATACGAAGATTGGTGCTCAAGGTGTTCAGAAGACTCTGCATTTTGTCAGCATCCTCCCCTAACAGGACAATGTCATCTGCATATTCCAAGTCCATAAGACTATTCCCTGGTAACAAGTCGATTCCTAAGTCGTTAAGTTCAGTTAAGGATACTTCCATTAGCATGTCTATGATGAAGTTAAACAGGAATGGGGGAACAAACTCAAAGGTGAGATACGCGCGTATGCACCACTCAAAAGTCCTTCAATTATCTGAACCATATAAGTGTGCGCACTTAAAACACAGAGATGCACACACAAATACACAGACACAGACAAAGTTTAATTCAAATTTAAAAAAACTTACTGAACAACTTGTCTTTGATAAACTTGTTATTTTCCCATTTGACCGATTCATCAAACCGCAGCGATTATTAGATTCTTGTGGAAATTCACACAGAGCAGATCTTTCACCATTTTCTTTAGCTTGTTCATTTTCATTATTCGGTATATCACCATAGGTTGTATAATCTTTATCATTGGAATGTATAACATGATTTGTAGTAGATACAATAGGTGTAATGTCAACATTTTTCTCAACAACTGATCGATGGTATGCAGTTGTAGGAAGTATCAAGGGTATTTGAGAAGTAGGAATAGCATTGGTAGTAGTAGAAGTAGTAACAGTAGACTGATAATTAGATCTAGATGATGGAATCCGATGATGACGTTGATTAGTTTGTAATGAAGATGTTTTGCCTCGACTACTAATACTACTGGTGGTGAATGAACGTTTAATTAATGAGCCTATAAGTAGAGCAACAGTTGTAGCCATTTCTATTTTACGTTCAGCAAAATTATTCATAAAAAATTGTGTTAAAGTAACCGGTGGACGATAGGTGATTACATCACGAAGTATACGATAAAATACCTCCATAAATTTATTGTCATTTGTGCCTAAAAAAGAAGAGAAACCGAATAAGAAAGAAATCACACATAAACAAAATTAATCTAAGATTGAGACGCAATATTAAATTTCATAGCATAGAAAGTATATACATATATGGTATTGTTATTATTATTATTGTTCTCTTATTGATATTAGATGGTTGGAGGCAATCGGCAGGAAGCCTTCCACCTAGGTTTCGTGCTAGTTGGCACTCGTCAGCAAGGCGTATCTGCAACCTTGAGGGAACTCATGTCCCTTCTGAGATTCGAACCCGCGTCACCCAGTGCTGCAGTCAGAGACGTTACCACGTTACCAGCACAAACAATGTACACCGTGATGGCGAGCTACCTAGAATGGTGGCCACATTACAACCTGACTGATAGAATTCAGTCTGCACCAAAGAGAGGACTAGACACGTCACACTAGTTACTAGTGTCAAATCAAAAAATTGTTCTCTTGTGTTTTGAGGGAAAGATAGACCTTCAACAGTACATTGTCATTTCACCCTGTTTTCTCCTAACAAGAATCCCCCTCCATGTTACTCTCAGACTTACGCCCAGCTTCGTTGCTTTCCACTCGAGAACCTGGCACGTGATGTCACTCAACGGTCTCCTCAGCGTGTGCATAATTCATTTCGATTTCCTCCAATATATTTGTCAAGCAATAGATTCTTCAAGTGTTGGATTGTAGGGATTTGATTGGTTACAGGATTTCATCATGAGCTGACATTGGTTAGAGAACCATTGGAAAACCTGGGAGTACTGGACAGCTGTTTCGTCCCAATTCGGGGCTCTTCATCAGTACGCACCCAGGACCTTCTGGTTACAAGGCGAGCTAGCTCGTAGACCATTAAGCCACTGAGATCCGATCTAATGGCCCATGAATTCTAACTTCTGCCAATTCACGACATGGCGCGACCCCTAGCCAATGTCTTCGGCGAGTATTTGTCCTCACACCCGACCTGCTGCACCCTACTGGTCACGACTTCTCACTAGAATCCCAGGTAATAGATTCTTGGTTCATGCGTTGGCAGAGAGTTTCTTGTTGCTAATGCCTTTCGACAGGTCATATGATCCTCGAGCGAAGGCATTTATTGATGAAAGTCTGCAGTAGCCTATTGAAGATGCTGTTGTTGACGTGTGTGCCAAGTCTCTGAACCATTATAGAAGCATTGACTGACTTTGACATTAGTGTTGAAAATCCGAGTCTTGTTCTTTGCAGAGTGAGTAAAGCAGATGCACACACTGATTTCAGTGGAATGAAGGACTGTCTTACTTTTCCGATTCTGGGTGGTTTTGACGACCTCATCCATGCCCGCGCCTGTAGTTGAAACGATTTCGTGTAGATAACTAAAACCGGTGACTTCTTTTAGATTTCTCCTATTGTTGTTATTGATTGGGTAACTTCATCATCTCTGTCTTCTGTATTCTCACCTGAATTCCTGTCTTTGATGCTTCTTCTGTCGACTTGTTAGTTTTCACCTGTGGATCTTCCAGTTTATGTGATATTAGATACAAATCGTCTGAGAAGTTCAGGTCTTTTTGAATCTTGTTGTCCATTCAATGTATGCCCTATCTTATCGTTCCCCACAAGTCTGCTACACGAGATTCAGTTCATCACCATCATGAATATCATCGGCGATAGTAGACAGCCCTGTCGTACTCTTATCTTCCCTTCAAATGCTTCTCTGAGCTTTCCGTTGTAACATTATGAATCAATCAATCAATCAAGTTGATAATTAGGCAAACAACTTTCTGTAATACACAGATGAACATTACCCATGATGATTACAGGGAAATAATCCTGTCAAAGCGCAGATTGTTATAATTCACCTTCAATCGCCACTAATTACATCAATTGAAAACATTTATTTCCCGATATGAATTTAAAACAAGTAATAAAGGTTAATAAAGCAGGATTTAATGAATTCATTAAATTTCGATAGAACTCGTCAGCTGATTACTCCACATACACGGATATATATATACTTTTGAAATTACATTGGGAGATATAAGACTGCTAAGTAAACAAACTACATTGAATTAGTCATGCAGAAAGACAGGTGCGAATGTTTTTCCAGGTCATGTTCAAATAGATAAGGGGAGAGAGAGTTTGAGAGATCGAAATTAAGATAAGATGCATTACGTTTCAATTACATCACTTAGATAAACAATTAGACATTAGAGAATTTAACAAGAATTGCAACCAGAGGGATGTCAATAGTAATAGTTATAATAACAATAATAATAATAGTGTTGAAGTGGAAGCAAATACATAGGTCGTACAGAAAGGCGACAAAGCCATCAAGAGAACTTATTATGCTGCAAAACTTGTTTTCCTTAACACCACTAAGCGAATGCTTCAACAATCTGGGAAAGACCAGTGGCCAATCCTCGACACTTCAAACTGCGTATATCAATTTGAGTGTGTTTGTGGAAGAAAATACATAGGTCGTACGGAAAGGCGATTGTCTACTCGCATGATGGAACATTTACAAAAATGGTTGAAAACAGCTGAGTGCAAAGTGCCAAAATCCTCAATAACAATACATCTTGTGGATTACGGACATGATATTGACGTGGTCAAGTCATTCACTATTGTCAGCAGACAAAGAAACAAGAAAATGCTTACAATCGCAGAGGCTTGTGCAATTCGAGTTTATAAACCAGGGTCTCTGTGTACAAAAGGAGATGGTCGTGACTCTGAATCTACCATGGTAATACGATTTACTCATTATTCTACCTCTTATTATTTTTATTGATTCATTTAAAACTATCCTTTATCAGTAGCATTATCTTAACTCACTTCAACACTATTATTATTATTGTTATTATAACTATTACTATTGACATCCCTCTGGTTGCAATTCTTGTTAAATTCTCTAATGTCTAATTGTTTATCTAAGTGATGTAATTGAAACGTAATGCATCTTATCTTAATTTCGATCTCTCAAACTCTCTCTCCCCTTATCTATTTGAACATGACCTGGAAAAACATTCGCACCTGTCGTTCTGCATGACTAATTCAATGTAGTTTGTTTACTACTTAGCAGTCTTATATCTCCCAATGTAATTTCAAAAGTATATATATCCATGTATGTAGAGTATTCAGCTGACGAGTTCTATCGAAATTTGATGAATTCATTAAATCCTGCTTTATTAACCTTTATTGCTTGTTTTAAATTACATCAATACCGATTCAAACCTACTTCAGATAGTCTCCCTATCAGATAGATATATAATGATTAAACAATTTTATCTCAAAAGCCTGAATCCACTCAACTATTTGTCTTATGCCAGCCAAGCACCTGATGCTTGCAGTTTGTAAATGAAATCGTTCCTTTCAGATGAAGGATTTTTAGAATATGCTGAAGCAAAATATTAGTAGATGCCCTCAACTCACTCCTTGTTCTGCGTTTGCCCAACAAGTGAATATAAATTTGTACAAGCTACATACAGGAGTTGATATCAACAACACAATGATATGCTGTCAATTGTGATTTAATGGAGATTTCTAGCAGTTCAGTGAGCTCAATTTAATTATGGGTCAGTGGACCTTTGACTATTCACTCAATTTTTATTGATATTTTGTTTACAAGAATAAATAATCGAAATTCATAAGAAAAAGGCACCAACAACGAAGAAAATTTTCTTTTCGACGATTCATTTTCATGAGCTGTACAATCGTAATTATAATTAACAAAGAAATCTTTAGACCAATCAGATACTGGTAAATTTTTGTCCTTTGAAAATTGTATTATATAATGTAAGGTGTAAGAAGGGATGACTAATTGTAGGTTAGAAAGGAGACAGAAGTTGGCATGACGTAATAAGTGTGAGATAATGAATAATCAATGAGCTCCTGTAAAAATGGACAGGAACTAGTGGAAAGGCGATAGATTGTTTTTATATAAAGTCTGTATGAAAAAACAATGTTATTCATAAACAGTAATAGAGTGGTAATAAAATGTGGATGATGGGAATAATAATGATAATAAAAGTATCAATAATAATAATAGTGAACTTACGTAATAAAGGAAAGAAGCAAAATTGTGGTAAGAACTTTACTCTGGCCGTGGTAGGGCAAGAGAATGTATGTATCGCTTTTGGATGCAGAGGTCCGGTTTCAGATCTCGAATAGCTAATGCTTCAGCTATGTACAGATGGCGTATCCGAAATCGAAATTCATATATTACAACAGTCTGGAGTACTTCTTCGTGAAAACAAGCTGAATCAACTGTTTTTTTTCTTAGCACAAAGCACAAAGCGTCTTTAGCTTCAATTCAACTGTATTAACTGTATCAGCGAACTGATGGAATAACCTATTCAATTTTCCACTCTGACTGTATTTACACATAAGTATACATTTGTGAGAGTAAGCACATAGAAAGGACTAACAGCAGAGACAGCTTTTCACCGAGAAAGCTTTAGTTCAGTCTTAGTCACTTTCATTAGGATTATGTATAAAGACAGTTACTGCTTATTTCGATTCGAATTCACTTCTACCATTCACATTGCATTACTACATTACGCAACAGCCTCTACAAACATCTAAATATGATTAACTTTATTGGAAAGCATTTCCGACCATATCGATAACAAATGTTCCTAATTCCATTGATTTGTGCTATCTCAACGAATTTGAACCAGAATTTAAAGAGCCTAGAATAATTACCTTTCTACTGTGTTCATGTGCATCTAACGACTAGTCCGTCACTAGTAGTCACAAATGGTGTAACTAATGTTGTGTTACCTAGTCACATTGACTCTAACCGAATTCTGTCGGTCAATAAGTCAATAAGATGTTCACTATGCTACAGACGCTAATCACTAGTTGTGCTTTACTTATAAATGATGTTGTGTGAATAGACACAATGTTCAGGAAAACCTAAACGTAGATGACAGCTACATTTTGCTGAAGAGTTAGAGTGAGCACGAAATATAGAGGTTCGGGACTTTCTGTCTTGTTGCCATTAACTAACAAACACAATCCCAATAAAGTGAATTCATATTGTGAGCTGACATTGGTAAGAGAACCATTGGAAAACCTGGGAGTACTGGACAGCTACAAACCAACACTTGAATATCAATGAGGTGCTCACTAGCGACTTGCCCTATTCAGGTAGGTAGTTACCTGGGGTTCTAGTGAGAAGTCGTGACCAGTAGGGTGCAGCAGGTCGGGTGTGAGGACAAATACTCGCCGAAGACATTGGCTAGGGGTCGCGCCATGTCGTGAATTGGCAGAAGTTAGAATTCATGAGCTGGCCATTGGATCGGGTCCCAGTGGCTTAATGGTCTACGAGCTAGCTCGCCTTGTAACCAGAAGGTCGTGGGTTCGAACTCCTGTGGTGGGTGTGTACTGCTGAGGAGTCCCAAACTAGGCTGACGAAACAGCTGTCCAGTACTCCCTGCAGGTTTTCCGATGGTCCTCTAACCAATGTCAGCTCATGATGAAAATCCTGTAACCAATCAAATCCCTACAAACCAGCACTTGAATTCATATTATTTATATAACTGCACTGTTTATGAATGCGAATAGGCAACATATGTAAAAAAAACTCATATTAAAGCAAAGAAGAATGAACAGTACTCATCTTGTAATACATATAATAAATAATAAGATATAAATTCGAAAAAGAAAAATATTAAAAGTCATACCAAGCATTCCAAATCCACGTTCAACTAAATGACTAGTCAGTTGAGTATTGTAATCACATAATAAATGTCGATAAAATTCTACAAATGCAGACGATTGTCCCAATATCATCCTAAAAAAACAAAATAAATATTTATGTAAAATATTATATCAAGAGAAAAGCAAAAAACAAATCCATAAAAAATAGTACTACCTAACTGATGTAATAAGGTAATTTGACCAAGCCAAGTGAGCAAACACCTCAACTACAGGAGGAACGGACGAGGATGTCAAATCGAGAATCGGGAAGGCGAGAAACACATTCATCAACCTGAAACCAATCTGGAAATCTTCGTCACTCAACTCAGCATCAACAACAAAATTCGGATTTTCAATACAAACGTCAAGTCAGTTCCTCTATACGGATCAGAAACTTGGCGGCGGGTCACAAAGAATATTTCCAACAGACTGTTGCAGACCTTTATCAACAACTGTCTTCGCTCTATACTGAAGATCAGATGGCCGGAAAGAATCACCAACAAGAAACTATGTGAACAAACAAAACAAGAACCAATCGTCCAACAAATATACAGGAGAAAGTGGAGATTGATTGGACACTCGCTGAGGAGGCCGCTGAGTGACATCGCGCGTCAGGCCAACGCTCGAGTGGAACCCGAAAGGGAAGCGGCGAGTGGGACATTCAAGGGTGACATGGAGGAGATTGTGTGAAGAGGAGTTGAAACAGTATGGATTAACATGGATGCAGGTGAAAAGTACAGCAGAAGACAGAAGCAAGTGGAGACGTGTAGTTGAAGCCCTATGTTCCACTGGGAACCCAAGGGAACAATAATAATGTAATAAAGTGAACAAACACTGAAAAAACTAAACAGAAAACCTTTAAAAACATGAAAGCATCAAAAATGCTAACCATACCACATAACCGAATACTAGTTTTAAAGCATTCTAAAAACCACCTGTGATTAACCTGAAATGTCGTCATACCGAAAAGTAATATCCTCCTCATTTCCTCTTGAGATTGCCACCTAATCTGTGGGTTTTTCTCTATAATCTCATAGGTGAAGCTAAACTTTATGCACCGAAGAGGCGCGAACTCACTAATGACCTTGGAAAAAGACGTAGCGCTGAAGGGTTGATTTTGTCTTCTAACACTAGCCTTAATCTATCTTTATTCTAAACCTAATCTACGTCAAATCAACGCGAACATCTCTCTAATTCGGTTAACTTAGCTCTATTCTGTCCATATCCCAAACCTAACCTTAATTTTTTCCCAAACTTAACCTAAAAGTTAGAAGAAATTCCGTTTAATATTATAACACTTCATTAAGTAAACTTTTTCATGAATATGGTGTCATTTACCAGGTTTGACTAACTTGCTGACTGAGTATTCCAAGGTCATTGGTGCGTTTGCGTCTCTTCGTTGCCTAAAGTTTAACTTTGCCAACTTATAAGTTGCGTTTCTGGTTATTTGGATGCAAATATTACCCTGGACACCATACTCAATCAAGCTAATGAACAAATAGGGGATTTAGTGGTGTGTTTAGTCGATATGTCAAGGGCTTTCCATGACATTTTCTATTCCATGAAACGGGAAATAAGAACCATTGGTCAAGGGTGTGTCGTCATAACTATAATCCTGGACAAGCTGAAGTGAGTCTTAGAATGTACCAAGTTCCACAGTTAACCAGATACACTGGCCTATAAAAACAGGGCAAACATATTAGATATTGATATAATCAGTGGTTCAGGAGTAAAACGCCCACCAGCCACGCATGAGGTCCAGAGTTCGATCCCCGGCCGACGAACTCCTAAATCCCACTAAACCGGTAGTAAGTCCGGTAAAGAGGGATGGTTGGGCATGAGGCTAGCAACCACACCTCGTAAAAATAAAAACCACTGTTACTGAAACTTCAAAACTCCAGCTTGAAGCTCTGTGTTCCACTCGGGATGTAAAGGAGTAAACAAAAAAATAATCATGAGCGATAAATTGTGCTCAAAAAATTCATCCAGTTAGCTATTGTCACTGCATCAATCACTGCAGGTTATATTAAATAAACTTCCCTAATACAGAATTAGGCCAAGTTAAACTTTAAGCACCAGTGCCTACACCAACGAAGCGCAACTGCACCGATGACCTTGAATGGACACCAATGAGTCTCTTCACGTGAATTCAAGCTTTCATTCCGCTTAATTTGAGTGAAATACCTGCTCTAAAGGAATTACGTCTGAAATTTGGTGTAGACCAAGTTTTCCAGTACTGCTTAAATGTAGGATTGGTTGGAAAGGAAAGAATTTGTTCTTGTGGAGGTATCATAGGTATAAAAAACTCCAGTGGATAGGTTGGTGGGCATATTCACTGTTGTGAAATTTGTTTGAGACGAGTTTAGTGTGAGGGAAGGTAAGCTGATGATTATACTATTTCATAGGAACATTTTTTGCTAGATCCCATTTGTCAATAACCCAGATTTTGCATATTTGTGTAATTACTGGATTTTAAAACACGCTGTGAGAGTTGCAGCTGCTGAAACAGGAAATAGTCTCGTTTCAACAGTTCATTGGTACCAGAACTGCGGCGATATTGCATCTTGGAAGATGGAGAGAGCTACTTTTTTATTGGGAGTTGTCATTGTACATATAGATGAAACAGTCCTAATGAAGAGGAAATACAACCGCGGTTGTGAAAAGGCAAATAACGTTTGGGTGATGATTGGATTATAGGATACTACTGTACGGAAAGGATACCTCTCATCATTCAATTGGTGAAACAAGGATCTATGATACTCACAAATGAATGGAAAGGATATAACTCATTGTCATTCCTGGGATATATACGCCATATAGTAAACCACACTAGTGATTATATGGATCCTATTATACGGACCAGCACCGATTCCATTGAAGGATTTTGGGGAAGGTTGAAGAACAGGATTAGAGTCATTAACGTGTCTCAAAAAGACGTTATCTGCAGTTATTTAGGTGAATTATTATCATTATTATTCCCTTGGGTTCCTAGTGGAACATAGGGCTTCAACTACACGTCTCCACTTGCTTCTGTCTTCTGCTGTACTTTTCACCTGCATCCATGTTAATCCATACTGTTTCAACTCCTCTTCACACGATCTCCTCCATGTCACCCTTGCACCGACGAACCACTCGCCGCTTCCCTTTCGGGTTCCACTCGAGCGTTGGCCTGACGCGCGATGTCACCCAGAGGCCTCCTCAGCGAGTGTCCAATCAATCTCCACTTTCTCCTGCATATTTGTTGAGCGATTGGTTCTTGTTTTGTTTGTTCCCATAGTCTCTTGTTGGTGATTCTTTCCGGCCATCTGATCTTCAGTATAGAACGAAGACAGTTGTTGATAAAGGTCTGCAACAGTCTGTTGGAAATATTTTTTGTGACCCACCAAGTTTCTGATACGTATAGAAGAACTGACTGACTTGACGTTTGTATTGAAAATCCGAATCACTTTGTTGTTGATGCAGGCTGAGTGACGAAGATTTCCAGATTGGTTTCAGGTTGATGAATGTGTTTCTCTCCTTCCCGATTCTCGATTTGACATCCTCGTCCGTTCCTGCTATAGTTGAGACAATGCCCCCTAGATAAGTGAAAGAAGTAACCTCTTTCAAATCCCTCCCGTTGATGGTGATTGGCGCTGGATGTTGCTGCTGCTGTTGTTGGTGGTTGGTTATTTTCATAACCTCCATCTTGTCTATGTTCACCTGCAGTCCTGTTTTTACCGGCTGCTTCTTCGACCAACCAGTTTGTCGGTTTTCGCTTGTAAGTCTTCGATTTTGTGTGACATCAAACATAAATCATCCACGCGCGAAATCCAGGTCTTCTAGGTTCTTCACGTCGGTCCAGGATATCCCTGTCTTCTCGTTTCCCACTGTCTGACGCATAATCCAGTCCACCACAATTAGGAATATCATTGGTGATAATAAGCACCCTTGTCTGACTCCTGTGTTTACTCCAAACGCCTCGCTAAATTTTCCGTAGTGGATCACTTTACATGTGCCATTGTCGTACAGCTGTTGAATAAGGTTGATGAATATTTGGGGTACGCCGTAGTACTCGAGTAGTTTCCAAATTACTTCGCGGTCAACGCTGTCGAAGGCCTTCTCAAAGTCTATAAAGTTGAGGCAGAGGTTTGATTGCCATTCCATGCTTTTTAGTTGAATACATGTATAAAATATGGCTTAACTTCCCTTTCGATACTCCTAAGGAAAACTGGGAGTCAGGCATCCTGTGTAACATTTCTATACAGTTTTCATACATTATTTCTATAAATACATGTATTATATACTCAAAGATAGCCTTTTTCATGTGATTGGTGCGTTCAAGGTCATCTGCTGATTGGTAGATAATGGCACCTAAAGTTTAACTTCGCCTAGAATTATATTTTACCACTGAGGATAAAACCAGAAAAGTCAACAAAAAAATAAAAGAAAATTTAAACATACCCTTGAAAATTGACTTCATAATTAAATCGTAAGGCACGTAACTGACGACGTAAATTCTCTATCGATCCTTTTAAATTAGGCATTAGTTGCAGGATGACAGACTGTAAGTTTTCTTTCAACTTGTTATTGTAGTATTATTATTATTATTATTAAAATAATTGAAAATTTCAATAACTTCCAAATGAACCTATAAATAAATGGAAAATAATAAAATATTTACAGGTGTGACTTAGAGAGAGAGAGAGGGAGTGAAGGGCAAACACGCACACAGATGCATATCACACATACTGGTCAGAAATAAAAAGGTACTAGAACATTCAAAGCTGGGAAAATGCAAGTACCAGCCGTTGTTCCCAAAAAACCCAGTACTATTCAACAAGTCCATCGCCTTAATAATTTTACCATGCCTATTCTCTGTTATTTGGTTGCCGAAACCTCACTAAATGGAGCAGGTCTCGAACCTGTATCCTACTACTAGTAAAACATTTAGCATTTACACCAATGTATCAAAGGTCTAGCGTGTAGAGTTGACTAGCTGGACCATAAGACGAAAGAAACTAAGAAATATATAGTTTTATTTAGATGAACTAATACAAGCTTCAATCAGCCACATTGTTAAAATGTACAAATGCATCCACTGGTTTATTGCACCAGTGAATCCAACTGGATTATCTATTTGACAAAACTCGTAAAACTGACGTAATTTAAAGTAATATTCAGAGCTGTCTATGTGGAAATGAAGCATTTGCAATTGGCAACGAGACACACCTCAGCAGGTGGGGTGGGATTTGAGCCCAGGGACACACTGGTTGTAAGTTTGACCGCCTAGACACCATCAATATAGCTACAACTCTAAGTCAGTCGATGGCTATATGATGAAATATGAAATGAATATATATGTACATGAGTGTTATTATACTCAGACAAACATTTGGACCATAAGAAATAATTGTGATTGACTACTTTAGTCTAACTTATTACACTACTACAAAAGCAATCTGAAGGATATCAGTTTCACACTCGAAGTCTCATTCGACTTCAATTATAACTGGTGAAAGAGGAAAGTCTCGAAATACAATTTATGAATTCGACAGCATATGGACACACACACACACACAACTTTCGATTACTAAGAATTCAAACTGTTTCAAGCTTGATCACAACCTGACATCACCAAACTAGGATGAAACAGCTGTCCAGTACTCCAGTGCTGGTTTTCAATGGTTCTCTAACTGATATCAATCCGTGATGCTCTAATGCTCGCTAGTGACTTGCTACAGGATGAAGTTTCCTGGAGTTCTAGTGAGAAGTCGTGACCAGTGAAGTCCATGCAGATGTCACGTATGAGGATGGATGTCCCACCTACGACAATGGTTGGGGTCGCGCTAAATCACGAACCGGTAGAAGTTAGAAATCATGAGCCATTGAATCGGGTCCCAGTGGCTGAATGGTATACGAGCTTGCCTTGTAATCGGAAGATCCTGGAATCGAACCCTGGTAGTGGGTTCGTACTGCCGATGACTCCCAAACTAGGATGAAACAGCAGCTGTCCAGTACTCCCTGGTTTTCAATGGTTCTCTAACTGATATCAATCCGTGATCAACTCGTAAAAACAAAACTAACCCTTACAAACCAAACCATAGAAAATTTACAGAATCATTGGAAAACCAGGTGTTTCGTCCTTCAGAAGTACGCATCAAGCGGGATTCTAACCCGGGATCTTCTGGTTAAAACACAAGCTCGTAGACCATTCAGCCACTAGGAACCGACCCAATGGCCTATAAAATTCCAACTTCTACCAATTTAGTCGAACCATGATAGGTGCATACCACTGAAGAGTCCCAAACTAGGATGAAACAGAGCTGTCCAGTACTCCATATGGTTCTCAAACCGATATCAGTTTCGTCACCAAACTTGAAACAAATCAAATCCCCACTAAGTAACTCTTGAAAATAATTTGAACATTCAAGTCCAAAGAAACCTGGATAGTTTGAACCCAGTTACCTAGAACAGATACAAACACACACACTTATTACGTAAGACTTTATCCAGGCTACCACCCTGGGTCTAATGCAGCTGGAACCGGGATTTTGAACCCCGTGTTAACCAGATGGCTGGAAGTTCAGTACTTAAACCCCAAGGATGCACATTCCTATTGGAATAACAAATTATCCATTATGTGTACACCTTAGAAACAGGACTCACCAGGACCAGAAAAAAATATACATATCAGAAGAACATACCAACGATAAAAAAGAAATTCAAGGAGAAAATAAATAAATGTTTTTTAAAAAAAGAAGCTAATTTATGTGCATATAAGAATCTTTCTTTTATTTCTTCTAAGGAATTATTAACAAAGCGTTATTCTGTACACACATTTTCTCTTTCTCTCTGTCAGGTAGTATTCACATTACAATATACATTAGAATATTTTAAAAAAAATAGTGACAATATTAATAATAACTGATAAGTAAATATGAATAAAATAAAAATAAATAAATAAATAAAAAAGGCACAACAGAAGTAGAAACAAATAGCAATACCCAATAAGAGATCAAATAAATAACGGTGTATATTACGTAAATCAAGTCATCAGCATCTAGAGAGGACAAGGGTCTGGTAAGATGGGGGGAGTTGGCGGAGGGATCACAGTAAAAACAAATAGGTTGAAATAAAATAAAATAGATTATTGCACATTGCATTGTAATTGAAATGTACAACAATAAATAAATAAATAAATAAATCTTGCATTAGACAAACAAACTTTTTAACCGCCTAAATAAATAACATTAGGAGGTAAAGCCATCACTGGTGGCAATGATGGCGTTGGATCTTCAGGATCAGCAAAGTATGTAATTCTCGACGGGTATGGACGAATTTCACTTGATTGTTTTTGTTGAATATCATAGGAAGCGGAAGAAGAGGAGAGAGAATGTGAATTGTGAACTGCAGGCGCTGAAGTTAATTCTTCTTCTTCTACTGCCTGTTTTTCTTCTCTAGCATCAGTAACGCTTTCATCAGAGATATTTTCTACTTGAATACGAGTGACTCGTTCTGATTTCTTTCGAATAGCTATAGCTGCATCCAAATATTCATCAAGTGTGCGTTCTGCACATTTTGCTGTTGTGTAGAAAGAAAAAAAGGAACATGGCAAAATATCAATATTTAGGCTTGAAAAAAACAAAACAAATGGGAAGACTTTCAGTAGACTATATCGACATGAACAAAAAAATCCACCGAAATGGGCTTTATATACCATAACAATAACTAAGTTAGATAGTTGCCGTTTGCCAACTTACGCCATCTTCTGGCTTAGTTGACGTGATATCTGGTTGTCGACCAAAGGACGTGTTTGTTACTCAGCAGTTCGCTCTATCTTCCTTTATGATTGAGACAAAGCCGCTGAAAGTGGAAGGCATGAAAAGACTAACTGTTTTTGATTATAGGTGTCTCGATTCTACCTTCCATGTTAGGTGGTATATTATTGAGGTTAGGCATCCAGTGTTAGGTGAAGATGGGAAATCAATCAACGAAGTTGTGAAGCTATATAGATTGAGATGATTAGCATATGTGTTATGTATGGCTAGCCATCGCCTTCCTCAACAATGGGCAATGTTAGCTGACATAGGATGGATCAGGTTGGAAAAGAGAAAGCTAGTGGTGGTCAAACCAAAACATGGCTTCATTAGTCAATGAAATCCATAACAGTTAGTTTAAGCTAGTTAAGAACCAGTGAATGGAGACAATTGGTTATATGGCCCAAAATTGTTCTCCATGGATGGTGCAGGTGGATTCACTCTTTGTGATTTATCATATCCAATAAAAATCTTCTTCTTCCCTCACTCGCACGTCTGTGTATTATCTCTCTTCACTCTCTTCTCCTGCTTTGTGTACTGCATGGAGTGTGGCGACTCGAACTGCTGATCTAAGTTACAGCACCTTAACCATCACAGTATGGTCATTATTATCTGTTGGTAGATAACCTTGAGTACAACTGTGAGAATATCAGCGATTTGTAACTAGCTGAACAATTAACAACTGTCAACGTCTCATTTTTTCATTGGATCACAGGCCTAAGTACTCATTATTATTATTATTATTATTATTATTATTATTATTATTATTATTATTATTATTATTATCTCCTTTAATTCCTAGAGGAACGTAGGGCTACAGCCAAACGTCTCCATTGCGTTCAGTTCTCTAAGGTTTTCACCTGGCTCCAAGTCTGCCCACATTCTCTCATCTCCTCTTCACATGACCTCCTCCAAGTCACCCTTGCACTGACGACCAACTCGCCGCTTCCCTTTCGGGTTCCACTCGAGCAATGGCTTGTCTAGTGATGTCACTTGATGGTTTGTTTTCTCAGAGTATGGCCAATCCATCTCCATTTCTTCCTGCATATTTGTTTCACAATCGGTTCCTGGTCGGTTCCCTTCCGGAGATCTCTGTTGCTGATCTTTTCTGGACATCTGATCTTGAGTATTGAGCGAAGACAACAGTTAATGAAGGTCTGTAGTTTGTTTGAGATGCTCTTTATGACGCGCCAAGTCTCTGATCCGTATAGTAAGTGGCACTGACTTCACATTGGATTTGAAAATCCGGATCCTATTATTTTTTATGGTGAGTGTTGTTGACTTCCACACAGACTTGAGAGTGATGGAAGCTTGTCTTGCTTTTCCGATCCTCGCTTTGATATTCCCATCAATTCCGTCCGCCTATAGTTGAAACGATGCTTCCCGGGTAGGTAGGTAGGTGAAGGAGGTTGCTTCTTTCAGATTTATCCCATTTATGCTGATTTTTGTCTGTTGTTGTTGCTGCTGCTGCTGGCCGGGAATCTTCATCACCTCTATCTTCTCTATATTCACCTGAAGTCCTATCTTCGATGCTTCTTCTGCCAACTTCTTGCTGTTCACTTGCATATCTTCCAGTTTGTGAGAAACCAGACATATATCATCGGCGAAGTCCATATCCTCCAATTTTTTGTGTGGGTTAAGCCTAAGTACTCGACTTTCAGTTAATGTGTTACGGATTCGAATTAGGCTCCTACAGCCATGACAAATGGGTAAATTAAGTGTGGCTAATATCCTGGATTACATAAAACATCTGTTCGGAACAACCGAGTTCAAACAGCAACAGAAGAAAAATAAAGTACGAAAACGCTTTGTTAGATAACACTAGCGCGTAAGTACACAGCTTTTGGCTTCATTCAGTGTATAGGAATTGTGGCCTATCGTATATATATTACTACTAACCAGTGAATATATAATGCTAACTGATCACAGGAAAATTTGAGGGGGCGAAGATTAACGTAACATTCATGAGTTTAAAGGTGGTTTCAGGCACACAGAGTTATCAGCTCAATTAAAATTCAGATTTCTCATGTAACAGGTTATGAGCTACACAATTAATGTCTGTCTGTCTCTGTCTGGATTCAACATAGAACTTGCCACCGAAGTGCACCAGTTCGAGTTGCCACGTTCCAAATAGCACACAAAGGTAGACAAGAAAATGAGTGAAGAGAATCAATAGAGTTTTGACAAGTATAAGAGTGAAACAGAATGAGTAGTGATAGAAAGGAATATGAAAGATTACTGAGACTGAATACATCTGCGTAAGCCATTGACAACGATTTTGAGCCATGTCCCCTATTGTCTCCAGCCATTGATTCTTAGAGTCCCGAGGGCCCCAACCCGGAAGTCTGCATCTCCCTACCTGACTCAGTTTAACTGTCAAGAATTTCATGGATTGATGAGGCCATGTTGTTGTTTGGCCACCACTTACTCTTTTCCAACCTGCACCTATATCAGCTAGTAATGCCCGTCCGTCGGGGGAGGCGATGGTTAGGCATGCGCAGCACGTCACCTAGCCATCTCAATCTATGTAACCTTGTAGCCTCTTCGATCGATTTTCCCTCTTTGCCCAACACTCTACGCCTAACGTCAACATTGCTTACCTTATTATACCACCTAACGTGAGAAAGAGATCGTAGACATCTATGATCAAAAACAGTCAACCTTTTTCATTCACACAATTACTGTGTGAATGCTGATGATGCTACTAGTACTACCACCAAGTTGCTCAGGATGGAGTAGTTCCAAAGAGGTCCTAACCAGGAGACCTACTGGCTGAAAGTCTAGTGCTTAATCCAATGAATCAAATCCTCGAAACAATTATGCTGTAAAGGAAAGGTAGGCACACAACTCAAAAGACAACAAAACTGAACTAGACGCATATCGTGTAACAGCCGATGACACCGTCACTGATATTTGTGAGCAATGCCAGTTGAAACGATTTATGATTAGGTAGTGCTTTTTTACTGCATCACAGAAAATTACAGTATCAACATTCAATAAAAATGGGTGGAAGCGTTTTAATAAGAATTGAAATGAATGGTACACCTTAAACAGTCGGATGTTTCTAACTGAATTAAGTTAAAGACTAACAAGCTACTGAAAATAATTGATAGTAGTTAAATACACACAACGAACAAAATAAAACAGTTGAATGCAGAAACAGCTATGTCAGATAGAAATACAAACTAGATTACGGAGTGATATCTGTTAGAGAACCACCGAAAAACAGGGAGCATAGTATAACTGTTCTGTTCTAGTTTCGGACTCTTCAGCACTACACGCACTCACACAATCCCACCGAGGACTTTCGGTTTATGTGGGACCAGCCCATTGACTGTTCAACCACCAGTAGGAAATAGGATGGCCCATGAATTCTCACCTCTATCAATTCACGATATATAGGGCCACCGCCAGCCAGCGTCATAGGTGAGTATTTGTCCTCACGCCCAACCTGGTGGACATCCGGCTGGTCACGACTTCTCAGCAGAACTCTAGGAAACTTAGTCCTGTAGCCAGTCACTAGCGAGCATCATATTAATTTTCAAGGATAAGCTTACAGGGATTTGACTGATTTCAAATTGGCGGTGGCGCTACCAATCGTGAATTGATGAAAGTCACAATTTGTTTACAAGATTGTTGATTTATCCTGAGTAGTGACGAAGTTCAGATAGAAATTTTTGTTTGCTTGAAATACACAATTTTGGTAGCATTTTGTGAATATAATGACTGATTGACTCAATATTCAATTTCTTTTAAGCACATATTAATGATAAAAAGCGGTTGGCAATTGGAATTAATACTTTAAACCATTGGTTGCACAGGGGTAGGAGATACTGTGTTTCAAACTTAGATTTACATTGTTAGGTGGAAACGATCATTTTACTGAACAGTCTTCGACTACATACATCAAATTAGATTAATGTATTTCGCCGCTAGCCTACCATATATATATGATCTCAAAATCTCTGTCCCATTTGTTTCTGTATTAGATTGTTTTGATATGAATTTTTCCTATCTGAGGTTAACCACCAATGGTCTTAAACTGATGTGAACAAGACTTGCGTAGACTGATCCGATCCCACGATTTTTGTATTATCGACGGCCGTGTGGTAAAAAAATGAATCGGATATTCGATTGGTTGGAGTATTTCATCATGAGCTGACATCAGTTAGAGAACCGTTGGAAAACCTACATGGAGTACTTGACAGCTATTTCGTCCTCGTTTGGGACTCTTCAAATCTCCAACCAATCAAACCAAAATCCCTACAAACCCAATACTTGAAAATTAATCTGGTGCTCACTAGCGACTGGCCCTGTTCAGATGGGTAGTTACTTGGGGTTCTGGTGGGAACCTGTGACCAGTAGGGTGCAGCAGGTTAAAGGTGAGGCAGTAACTCATCGAAGAAGACATTGCAGAGTTGTTGCGCTATGTCATGAATTGGCAGAATTAAGAATTCATGGACTGACTGGCCATTGGATCGGGTCCCAGTGGCTTCTGAATGGTCTACGAGCTAACTCGCTGGCCCTGTAACCAGAAGGTCATGGGTTCGTACTGCTGGAGAGTCCCAAACTAGGGAGAAATAGCTATCCATTACTCCCAGCTGGTTTTCCAATGGTTCTCTAACCGATGTCAGCTCATGATGAAATCCTCCAACCAATGAAACAAAAAATGTCCCTACAAAACCAATACTTGAAAATCAGATTTTTTAAGGCTCAGTTACTCCGGGCAGATTTTCCATGTGCCAGTGTCTAAGAACCACACATACCGTGTAAGGCCTGATGATACTACTCAGTTGCCCATACTGAAATGGGTGGTGTGAGACTCGGACCTGTGACGTATCGGCTGAATATTACCTGCGTCGGTGGCACAGTGGTTAGGACTCTCGCCGACCATTCACATGGTCCGGGGTTCGACCCCTCCCGGCGCACACCCGATATCTATGGTCGGCCTGAATTTGGGCTACCGATATCCATGCTGAAAATTCCACACTTGTACTGAAAATACGGTGTGGAATCAAGCTGTAAATCAAAAAAATAAAAATATATCTTGGCATCGGTTTTTCTAACAATTTTTGTTAGTCATCTCATATCTTATTGTTTTCTAAGGAAATCTTTCGTTTGACTTATTACATAAGGAAGTTGAGACTTTTTAGCAAAACTCGACTTCTTCTTTGACAATTTATTAATTCATATATTCTACCCATTCTTCTTTGTTGTTCCCTGTATATTCTTTATTGGGATTTCCAGAAAGAAGGCTTCGTGTGCTCTTGGAAGTGTGTGGGCGGTTGTTACTTCCCGGCTGCCCACACCGTGGAAGTTGATTGATTCTTCGGGTACCTGAAACAGAAAAAGGGTTAGTGTTGCGTGACCGCAGAGCCCAGGGGACAACTGCTTGAGGCCGGTCACACACGGTCTGTATGAACTGGTTTCTTGGATTGGTTCCGTATTAGTAAACTTACCGCCGGTTACGGACCACCGTAGGGTAAGTCGGGATGTACAATTTTTGGGGTTGACCTTTTCTAACCCCCTCTCTCCAGAGTGGAGAGACAGCATAGCTGGCATGCTGGTCATCTGAGGGAAACACCTTACTGCTGTTACATCCCTGTTCCCCAGCAGTACGACTTCGCCCACAGACCCCCAGCATAGTGTAAGAAAAATTCTTACACTATGCCGGTAACTGCTTTTAGTCTAATCGCTATCCTAACAACCTTCCTGGCATGGTAGGACCTGCGGGAACAATAGTTCCAGCCTGTGTAGCTTGTTGGGTCATTGCGATATGCAAGCCCGACCACCACGTCAAGGTAGCAGTTATCGGTCGGGCTTTCCAGAAAAAGACTATGTCATATTACGTAGCACTATGAAAGTTGCAAGCAGGGTTAATAGTATGTTATTGATCCAGCTAAGTGATATTGTTGTTGATAGGCAGCAGTCGGCTACAGTCATCTTGTCGGATAATCAACACCCTCTTCACCCATTCATTCATTCCCGAATTCTTCTCGTATCTCTTCGGGGAAAACCAGAAGAAATTTCATAAGAATTTATGCTCACACGGCTGAATATAAAATATCAACCATACCATGTTGAGCACGGTATATTTTTACACACATAATACAGTCATCGTCATACTCATGGAGCAGTTTTTCCCTTCTGATATTTTCCTGGCTCAGTACAACAGAATGATTTAAGGGAGAGTGGTCTTATTTAGTATTCAGTTGATGTATCTACCCACGATTTTATTCACTTAATCACATCAATTGATGATATTTTATAAAAGACGTTACGTAATGTAAAATATATAATATAAAAAAATAATGACTTACCTATAAAACGAATAAATGGACGTACATCTCCATCATTTGCTGTCTTTAATAATTCATAATACGTAAGACGATCTTCTATTTTAATTATAGCTGGAGGTAAACCAGATCGCATTAAAATGAAATTCATAAGTAGACGAGCTGTACGTCCATTACCATCATAGAATGGATGAATAAATACTAATTTCCAATGGGTCAGGGCAGCTAATTCTATCGGATGCATATCGACTATTTCATCAGAATTTAACCAATTGACTAATTCTGACATTAGATCAGGTACACTTGAAGGCGGTGGTGGTTGATGATCTGCTATGAAAACCTAAAAAAGAAAAAAATAACAATATAAATAACACGTAGGCTCAATGTATATGTTATCACAAACCGACATCTCTGGATAACCAAAGAGCATTGAACGTCTACTTCATCCCAAGTTTAGGACTTTACATCAGTCCTCACCTATAGCTCTAGCAGGGATCAAACTTGTAATCTTCGGATCATGAGGAAGCAGGTGATCAGTTATTAGAGTCAAATGATGAGATAGTCTTTTATTGACAGATTGATTTCACGTAAAGAGGTTGAAGGCTACAGTTAAAACAAAAACCAGTTTCCTCCTGAAATCAAGTACGATCCTACATAAATGATCTAGCACAAGCGAAGGTGGATAGACTTCGGCTCTCGCCTTAAAATGCGGTCATGTGGCCACATATTCATAGCCTTGGTCAGGTAAATCCTAGTTGTTGCCTTCACGCCGCCGGGATGTTCCCCACAGAGGTTAGACAGCAAATGCGAACGTCTGGTGCTTGCAACCGAACTGGTGAATATGCTGGTTTACCTTGAAAGAACTGGAAAACCTTTATTCCAAACCTACAGGCTCCAGCATCCAAAAGGATCGAATGGCATACGAACCTGTTTTATTCACCAGAAACTATAAGAAAGCAGCTACTGGCACTGATCTACTGCCTTGTGAATCAGACTTCAAGTCAAAAGACTTGGGAGGTGTTCCCCTAAGACAACCACCGGCCTCGGTCTGTGCATTCGAGCAGTACCCCGTCCCTCACACAAACTAAGAGATTTTGTTTGGCCCTTATGATATCGCCACTTTTATATTCTCAATAAGTTGAGTTGAAAGGGGACGCTGAGCTGGACGCAGATGCGCTGATCATGAATAGCGCTAGTCTAACGCTAACAACATTATACGACAATTGACTGTTACCCAACCCTCTCTACTTAAGGGGGAACACACAACAACGTGAGACAGAAAGTAATTCTTAAGGTATGTATAACTAGCCAGTGGTGTATGCGTGAGAGGAGACAAAGGATAAACATTGTCTGCCTATATATCATCTCTCCATTTAGAAAAGATGTATTGCTTGGAGTAAACCTGGAACCGTACTGGGTTTTTTTCTGCACCTGGCTGACCGACATCGAGGGAGTGATCTGTAGTTTACTGGAAAGTTTGGAGCATTCGTGGCTTCCCCCCCCCATCAGAGCGTGAGAAGCTATCGTACGCTTGAGAACACGTTATTATTCGAGATGGGAGAGTTTGGAGTCAACTTGTGGTAATGAAGCACATAGCACAGGTCTCTTTGACCGGAAAACAGGTGTATTACCATCTCGGGGACATAGAGGCAGAACACTGGTGAATTTATGGCGGACAAGTGGTGGTTGAGAACGAGGATGGTCGTTCTATGTGTTGCTGGTTAAAACCATCTTTGTGTCCAGTATCATCATAGTCTTGGCGACGATGTTGCCTATACGGACAAGATTTGACGAAATGCCAAGCATCACAGTGGCGCATCTCTTGGTGTCTTAATAAATAATAATAAATGCCTGAAAACAACTAGTGTTTACGTTTAAACTGAGTAGAACACACATTCACTAAAATTAGGGTACTGCTTGGAGTTTAATGAAACCTCAAAAGCTCTCAAATTAATGAAACAAAAAGAGGATAAAAGTAACTCAAAAAAAAACAACAACAACAGCCACAACATAATGATTGATTTTATAATATGATTGTCGGCAACAGAAAACATTAAAAATCAATACAAAGAGCATAAAATATTACAACATTACCTGAGAACGTCGTAGTCTTCCAGCCTCTCTTAAATCTATATAGGATAACAATCGACGATGTAATTCCAATATGTTTTCAAGTGTGATAGCGCTTGATTCTCCATGCAGTAGAGTATTATTGATATATCTGAGGGCTAAATCCATACCAAGTACCTAAACAAAGAATATAGAAGTAAATCTTTGATTAACCCAACGAGCAGCAGGAATAATGCTGTTCTTGCCGATTGCCTCCAACCATCTAAAATACTGTTTATTTTATTTATAACGTAGCAATAAAAAAAATGCACATCTGTAGTAACATTATAACATTATTCAACTTAGAGCTTAGTTGTATCAGTCATGGGATTTTATCATCAAGTTTAACCATCCCTAAAACGATTAAAAGGAGTATATAACTGAGATAAAGAACTAGTTACTATGTGTTATCATCACTTTAAACTATTTATTAACTAACAATTTCAATTTACCTGACTTCATAAAGTCACCTTTCTCTCTCTCTCTCTCTCCCAGTCACTAGAGGTTTGCTAATCCAAATGAGGATGTATACTGCTTGACATTCATTCTAGAGCCTTTGTTAATAAGTCTTGAACTTTTCATCATTACGACGATTAGTGACATCTTCAGGAATAACTTTACTAAGAACATCAAAGAATTTCCACTATACCCACTACATCACCATTACATTAACAATACTGAGACATGTATGAACACACACATATATGTAGCCTTCTCCTTTGGTTTGAGTAAAATGTTCACTTTCTACAGCCTTCTTTAATAGAAAAAGTGCTCTGCAGCATCTTGAAATAACTGAAAGTGGACAAAAATTTCCCCTTCGTCGCTCCTTCTCGAAATAGCCTAGACAGACAGTCACTTAACACACAGACATCTGAAATCAATAAGTGTGACTAAAGAACTAATTCAAGCACATAGAAAACCGGGATTCCAAAGGAAATAGGGCATACACGTTTCATAGTCTGTTTGAATTCTGTCTTTGTAGTGAATCCATTGCGTCGGCAGTCCAATAGTACAATACTCGCCAACTACACCTCACGTGGTCCGGGGTTACGATCCCCGCGGCTGACACACTCTTAAAAACCTCCCTTTGCTAACAGTAAGCACAGTAAAGAGGGAAGGTTGGGGAGCGTGGGGCTAACAACTCCACCCTGCTGCTTTCGCTAACTTACACCATCTCTGGTGTAGGCGTGACATCCGGCTATCAACCAAGGGACGTGTGTACTGCTCAGCAGTTCACTCCGTCCTTCTCTATGGCTCTGAAACATGGCCAATACGAGTTGAAGACATGAAAAGGTTGACTGTTTTTGATCTTAGATGTCTACGATCTCTTTCTCACGTTAGATGGCATAATAAAGTAAGTAATGTCGACGTTAGGTGTAGTGTTGGGCAAAGAGGGGAAATCAATCGATGAGGCTATAAAGTTACATAGATTGAGATGGCTAGGTCACGTGCTTCGCATGCCTAACGAGCATTACTAGCTGATATAGGTGCAGGTTGGAAAAGAGTAAGTGGTGGCCAAACAAAAACATGGCCTCATCAATCCATGAAATCCCTGACAGTTAAACTGAGTCAGGTTTGGGGCCTTCGGGACTCTAAGAATCAATGGCTGGAGACAATAGGTGACATGGCTCAAAATCGTTGTCAATGGCTTACGCAGATGTATTCAGTCTCTGTAATCTTTCATATACCTTTCTACCATTACTCATTCTGTTTCACTCTTATACTTGTCAAAACTCTATTGATTCTCTTCACTCATTTTCTTGTCTACCTTTGTGTGCTATATGGAACGTGGCAACTCGAACAGCTGCACTTCGGTGCCAAGTTCTATGTTGAATCCAGCCAGCCAGCTGCAAAAAAAATAAACGCCACTGCTACTGAAACTTCAAACCCTAAGCAGTGGAGCCCTATATGTTCCAGTCGGGATGCAAAGGAATAGAAAAAAAAACGAAATGAAGTGAATCGGCTGGGAAAATCACAAGGTATGTATACACATGAATAGTTGTTTCAGTGTTGTTGTTGTTTTTTTTTAATTCAGTTAAAAATGTCAAAAACTATGCAACTAAAAGTCAGAATGAAATACACACTAATCCTAGTCGTACATAACACATCCATATTGAACTTTTATAGGTTGGGATGAGAAGTTGCCAGTTTGTGCAATTCTGGCAAATATACACCAGACTTACCTACTCTAAACACGCATTACCATTGCAGATATAAGTGTTGACAATATTGTTTTATAACTAAACTGTTATGATATCACCGAGTATAGATACGAATGCTAATTTACGATAGTGAACTCTGGATAATTCTCCTGGTCTCAATTATTCCCTGATCCGAACTAGTGAAATGTAAACGACTCACACAGTAGGGTAGGAGAACGTGTGTTTCTAAAAATGTGAGAGCAGAGTGACAAACGGTACAAAAATACATGGTATATATTGATCGATCCAATCACAAGGTTGAATAGTATGCTATAACTGCATGCTAGATCGTGACTAGTTGACGTCCATCATGTAACGTGTGATTTCTCTCTAATCACAGATTAATGAGACAGGTGGACACATATCAGACTGGCGGACTAATAAGATAAATTGTGAGTACATATCATAAACACATTTTAGCAATAAGCTGTACCTACTAATAGCGTATTTGCATTAACACTTGACTTTCAGTCAGATTTAGTCAACTGGTTCGAATCCTGCTTTGCTTCTTTCTGAAAGATCGGGCAGTATCATCAGCTCTTACACAATAATGTGGTACACAAAATAATTAATTATCCACTAACTAATTAGGACTAATAATGCAACTCAGCTGTCCAAACTTTTCCCTGTAAATGGAGCTGATCTCAAACCCGTATAGCACTGACTGAAAATCAAATACCCCTAAAACAAACTACATCGGTCAACCTACACTGAGTATCTCACTTAGTCAAATCACTTTTCATTATTATTATTATTGTTACCTTTAATTCCTAGAGGAACATAGGGCTTCAGCCGTGCGTCTCCATTGCGTTCGGTTCTCTAAAGTTTCACCTGGCTCCAAGTCTGCCCACATGCTTTCATCTCCTCTTCACATGACCTCCTCCAAGTCACCCTTGGACGACCAACTCGCCGCCGCTTCCCATTCGGGTTCCACTCGAGAGCCTGTCGTGTAATGTCACTTTATGGCTTGTTTTCTCAGAGTATGGCCAATTCACCTCCATTTCTTCCTGCATATTTGTTTCACAATCGGTTCCTGCTGAGTTGATTCGCTCCCAGAGATCCCTCCCTGTTGCTGATCTTTTCTGGCCAGCCATCTGGTCTTGAGTATTGAGCGAAGACAGCTGTTGATGAAGGTCTGTAGTTTGTTCGAAGTGCCCTTCGTGACGCGCCAAGTCTCTGATCCACACAGTAGAACTGACTTCACATTGAAGTTGAAAATCCGGATGTTATTTTTCATAGTGAGTGCTGTTGACCTCCACACAGACTTGAGAGTAATGAAAGCTTACCTTGCTTTCCCGATCCTTGCTTTGATATCCTCGTCAGTTCCGCCCGTAGTTGAAACGATGCTTCCTAGGTAGGTAAAGCAGGTTGTTTCTTTCAGGTTCCTCCCATTTATGCTGATTGTTGTCTGTTGTTGTTGCTGCTGCTGTTGGCCAGGAATCTTCATCACCACATCTGTTTTCTCTATATTCACCTGAAGTCCTATCTTTGATGCTTCTTCTGCCAACTTGTTGCTTTTCCAGTTTGTGAGAAACCAGACATATATCATAAGAATATCATACATAAGAATTCATTATCAACATGAAATTAATATATTACCTCATTTTGTTCTAAAAGACTTTTACCGCCAACAGCTAATCTTGTCTCCAAAATTGATCGAGTTTGAGCCAGTGTCAGTGTATTACCTTCAATAGCATTTGAATGATAGACATGCTTGAAGTAGTGTTCAACTTTAGCTCGACGTAACCCAGGATCACCTTCAGGTATATGATAAAACTGGCGAACTTTGAAATCGATTGCATTTAGACTGTAAAAGAAAAGCAATAATATAAGCAAATTAAGTAGAATAATAATACCAACACAATATGCACAGCATGACGCCTAATATATATATTATCTGCTGGTCTAAAATCTGTAGTTATCTGGAATTCAAACCCGGTAAATTTAAGGTGGTCACAAGAAACATTATAGTTCTATACAGATAAATATTATTACAACAAAGGAGAAGGGCATTACACACGGCAACGAATAACATAAACATAAGAGAAGTACTAACAGGTTTCTATGATAACACAGCTAAACTAACAATACACAATATCACCTTTGGTATTATGAACCAGCAGTTTAAACACTTGGATTCTGATTATTACTTTTCGAGTTGAAATACACTGTCCCATAACTTATCTTTCGTGTACCAGGATATGAGTCATACAATTATTGTGTGAGGGATTTACGATACTACTTAGCTGCCGCCAGTCTGAAGTAGGTGGAGTGGGAATTAGAACTCGGGATCCAAACGGTTGAAAGTTGAGTGCTTATGTCGATAAGCAACACACACCTCTACTCAAAGTAGTAGAAGTACGTCTTCCTACTGATAAGGATATCAAAGCAAGGATCGGGAAAGCAAGGCAAGCTTTCATTACTCTTAAGTCTGTGTGGAGGTCAACAGCACTCACCATGAAAAATAACAGCCGGATCTTGAATTCCAATGTGAAGTCAGTGCTACTATACGGATGGATCAGAAACTTGGCGCGTCATGAAGGGCACTTTGAACAAAATACAGACCTTCATTAACAGTTGTCTTCGCTCAATACTCAAGACCAGATGGCTGGCCAAAAAAGATCAGCAACAGGGAGGGATCTCTGGAGGCGAATCAACTCAGCAGGAACCGACTGTGCAACAAATATGCAGGAAGAAATGGAGATGGATTGGCCATACTCTGAGGAAACCATCAAGTGACACCACTAGATAAACCATTGCTCGAGTGGAACCCAAAAGGGAAGCGGCGAGTTGGTCGTCAGTGCAAGGGTGACTTGGAGGAGGTCATGTAAAGAGGAGATGAAAGCATGTAGGCAGACTTGGAGCCAGGTGAAAACTCTAGCAGAGAACCGAACGCAATGGAGACGCACGGCTGAAGCCCTATGCTCCTCTAGGAATTAAAGGAAACAATAATAATAATAACTGAGAAAACAATATAAAACTTTGTACTGAGGTGAATCAGTTCAAGATTCCACACGCTCATGTAGCACATAAAGAAAGAAAAGAGTGAGAAAAGAGAAATTTGAAGGAACGATAATGAGAAGAAATATCCAGGAGAAAGAAAGGATAGTAACATGAGAAAACATGAGGGTTTAATAGATATGAAACATCACAAGAAGTTAGTGTATCTGCACCATTGAGAACGACGATTTTGAGCCATAACACTAATTGTCTTAAGCCCCTGGTTCTTAGAATCCGGGCAGTTTATACCGCTACATTTTGAGAAAGCATACATGAAAGCAGAGAAAGGAATTGCAATTCAACTGTAATGAATAAAGACTCACGGGAGAGGGAGCAATTAAGAGTGAACACATTTGTGTAATTGAGAATAATTTCGAGCTATGACACTCACCGAACTCTAATCAAGCCATTTACTCTTCACTTATATATCTCCGGACCAATCAGGAAGAACTAACAATCCGTACATATTGAATATGACTAATAAATGGCTACAAGAAACTGTCTATAGTGATTAAGTCTTATTATGTCTGGTTAATTAACAAGTCTGGAACTTAAGTTACACCTACTCAAGAGGTGGTTTATGAGTTCATTCTATAAAAAAAACTTCTAAAGAATTTAACTGTCTTTTTTGAAAAATCATACCGTCAGTAATAAGATCGTCATCTTCAGAATGCAGAGACCAGTGTATAAATGGAAGTATCCATAAATCAAATGAGAATGTTGTTAGTATCACATGCTGGTATATGCGTAATTCTACTACACCTCTGTGTCAACATTTTTTACAGTATAGTGTTAAAATCTTTAGATTCTGTACTTGTACTCGTCATCGCTGCATACATAATGTAGGACGGTACTATTTTACAACATACCTGATTCCTCTAGTATTCAACCTTTCGATACTCTACGTCTAAATCAGGAATACTAGATTTCGAAGGAAGATTTAAAGTACTTAGAAACGATGGTTCATCTCAATCATTTAGGTTCCCTATGTATACTAATGAATGAATCACTGACTGTGTTGATTAATGAACGTAGAAGATTGTACAGAAGTGCATGAGATAGAAATATCGGTTGCTTTTACATAATGCAACATCACAGAATCATACCAAACACTAAAAACCCGTATGAAATAGTGTTTCCATACCATTATGGGATATTTAAAGACACATTTTTAAGTGTAATAAAATTCACGAAACTGGAACTCTAAACACATCCTACGGAATGTTACTTCTGCATACACTACCGTGTCAACAGGAATCACATACGTACACTAACTACTAAATACTACACAAGTGTACACAGCAGAAATAAGAAATGTTAAGCAACAACCACATGCTTAGTGTTAGTAAACTTATCCATAAGCTACATATATGGTGTCAAGATTGGTCATAATACTTGAATGCCCCAAACCTTATTAGGTGGGGTTGAGCTCGAACCCAGGGCATACTACTGGTTAAAAACAATAAAAATCTCTGTAGCCTTGTTTGTACTGACTAGTAGGAAGAAACTGTTTCCTTCCGAGCTCAGAATATAACAAGGAGTAAAAGTTGCCCAAATTCAAACTGACCTAAAGTCTTTGTAATTATTGAGAACGGTAGTGGACGACGAAAGCCATATAAACAGAGAAAGGCATCATCACGAGGTCATATCTATATATTAACTATTTCGGGTTATTAAGGAAACAAGACTATAAAAACTATGGTATATGTGAGGTGACTTTCAAGAAAGATGGAAGTTAAATGACTTATAAGGTCAGATGGCTGTGAAGTATACCACCGAAACACTTCAAATGGCAACTTAATAGATCTACAGCTGCACTGGTTTCTCATCATCCAACTCCAACTTGAATGACCTATGAATACCAGTCCTCCAACTCTCCACGAGGTTAAAAGTGGTGTGTGTAATTTGAAAGGATGGACAACAGGATCTGACACTTTAACTCTATAAGTGTTTGATGATAGTGATAAGAAACTGTAGACTAGGACAACAAACCCATTAGTTAATGTAAAGGGAGTAAAGGCTTAAATAGCTGGTAATCTCAGTTTGTGACAAAGGTGAAACTTTTTATAACAATCTCAAGATGACTAGACTGAATAGCCTAATGTCTGAAATTCTAGAGACAATACTTATTAGAAGACTATAGGGAAATCTAGAAAAATTAATCCATAAGAATAAGTTGATTTTCATGTCCGGATGAGTGTCTATTGACAGAAAAATACTGAGAAATAAACACAGTGGCATCTAATATTGTTACATTTGTTCCTATTCCACTCTGTCGATCGAGTTATTGTGGACAGATTTTTCAATGAATGAAGTGCCGAAACATTTTAACTGAATTCATTAAGCAGTATAAGGAACTTGTATATGGCTATCATATGATGTGGCGAAAACCAGTGCTATTAGTCACAGGTCCTTTAGTATCCATTTATATTTAGTTTTATTATAGACTGGCTGACTGACCGGTTTCAAAGTAGAACTTTGCACAAATGTGCAGCAGTTTAAGTTGCCACACTCCATTTAGCACAAAAAAGTAAGAGAAGACAGTAAACAGAGTTTCAAAAGAGAGATGACAAACAGAAGTGTGAGCAAGAAAGTATAGTAATAAAGGGAGAACAGTAGATTTTATTATAGAAATAAACGTTTCCCTGACCTTTTAATAATAAGAATACACTTTATTTCAAAAACAGTACTTGTGATACAGAATAGAATTTTCAGCATTAATCACAATAATATTGCATCTAATTTCCTCAAATTATAAATAAAATTAATCACACAGAAAATTTTCCACATTTACAATAGGGGTAATGCCAAAAACATGCAGCATATAAAATGGAAATAATAATAGTGATAACAGATAAGGTAATAATAATAATAATACAAGTGAAAATTGCCGTCGGCTTGTTCCACACAGTATTGTCGATGTGGTATAGAAATCCTAGCATGTTTAAAAACATTGAATATAATGTTCTCTTTACATGATATGGTGAGGGGAAAAACAAAGATTACAGCAGTCATAGAGATAAGTTGGTGTTTGCAATTATGAAAGTAAAAGAAAGAAGCAACATGACCATAAATATAACAGAAATAATAAAAGTAAAACTTGAAGGTATATAAGGATGGATGGAGGGAATTTTTTATTTACTAGATGAAAAAAGGTTAATTAATTCTTGTCTGACACTATTTTCATCACATAAAATACGTTCCAAGTATGGTATCATAGAATTTTTATACTTAGACATGCGAGCATACAGTTATCTGAAGTTACTTCATGTTCTACCTGAGGAGATGCAAGGTGAAAGCTGAGGGTAAAGTGGATGCTCCAAGTCAGACAAAATCCCTTTAGCAAATTTACTTCACGAAGTCAAGTGCCTATCGACAACGACGTTAACTATGTGGTCCACTCACCCTACTGACAGTCTTCAGCATTCTACGAATTGTGACATAGTCCTTTTTAAGCAAACCAGGAAAGAATAAGGGTGGACAATAAAGAAGAATAGGTAGGATGCAAGAGTTTATGAACTGTAAGAGGAGGGGTTGAGTTATACTCGAGTGCCTTAACTTCTTAATGTAAAATGTCAGGCGGAATATTTTACTGGAGATCGCTGAGAAATGGGAAGACCAGTACAGATCAGAAGAGAGAATAAGTCCAAGATACTTAATTTCTGCTTGAATTCCTGTATCATTGTCGTCAATCTTACAACTGTCATGAGAATCAACGGCTTCTTTTAACTGTCTCTTACATCTAAAGCTGAAATTAACAGTTTGACATTTAGAAGGATTCAGTTTAAGACGGTTAGACTCAGACCATTTACTGACTCCCGACAGAAAGCTATTTATTTTGGTACAATCTAGCTGGGAGTTAACAGCCATTGAAACTGTTAAATCATCAGCGTACTTCACAAAGTTTATTTCATCAGAGTGATGCAAATCATGTAAGAAGAAAGAAAAAAGAAAAGGAGAAAGGACAGCGCCTTGGGGGACGCTAGTTTCAGTAGGCAATGAAGTGGAAGACTTCCCTTTATACACGGTGTACTGCTTTCTTTCTGAGAAATAGGAATGTAACCAGTTAATAGCCCAACATTCTGTTTGACTTGCAGCAAGTTTACTTAATAAGATGTCCCTAGGGACCGAGTCAAAAGCAGACATATAGTCTAGGAAGGCACAACGAACAAATTTAGCCCCCTTGTCTAGACTGGAAGCAATGTTATGATATAAGACGGCAGCTGCATCTAAAGTGCTTCTACTGTGCTTATAGGCAAATTGTTTAGGGTCACTAAAGGATTTAAGCGAAGGTACAAGACTAAGTAAAAGTAATTTCTCCATAGTTTTCAAAAAAGGAGAGGTAATAGCAATGTGTCTAAATTTCACACATGCTCCAGTAGATGATTTAGGTGTAGGTACAACTTTAGTGTCCTTCCAAACGGCAGGCACAATATTACTGGAAAAAGATTTGTTAAATAGATTAGTGAGAGGGTGACACAGAATATCAGAACATTTAAAAAATAATACTAGGTACATGATCTGGATCTAAGCTCTGGGAAGGATTCAGAGACTTGAGGCACTTTTGAAAATCATTTGTGTTAAAACCTGGAAAGGGGCTATTACTAACACTAGTGATGCTGGGAAGCATGGAATTTGAGGGAGAGTAAATAAAAGATTTATTAAGAGTACATACATCAAAAGAATACGGAATATTGTTTATCTGCTTACCACCAGTGATTTCCTTAAATAGTTTCCACATATTAGAAGCATTTTTGCAGAATGTGAATTTCTAGAACACAATATAGTTGTACAGCTTTGAAGTGAAGTTACTAAAAGAATATTTCTTGATGGACTGTCTTTTTTAATCATTATAATTATTTTATATCGATACAGTTAGCTTTGATTTAGACATCTTAGAAATTTACCCTCTATCAAGACAAAAGGTGACTGCTTTAAGATATACATGGTTTTTCGGGGTTGGTAACACTGACAAAATGTAATCATTCCAACTCCACAGATGTTTTTATGCCTGTTACATATACGTTGATGCTACAGAACCTTCAAGACTAATGTACGAAAAGCATTCTAATCTCATCATCTTGAGTAATTTTTGATGCCAACAAGGCTACGTACAGGAATTCTGTTCGCCCTATTTTACATGTGAGACGTGGTTGATGAAAGCAGAAACAATTATAAAAAGACTAAAAACATTATTTTAAGTCTTTGTACATTTTGCCGTAGTCAGGTGGAGCGACATATTAAGTAATAATGCGATTCAATGTGGAGTGTTAAATAAGAAAGATGAGTCAATCATGAGTTGAATCACCATGAAGTGTGTTACGCATATTTAGCCACCACATTCCTAGATAAGCGATAGTAGCTGAAGTGGGGCTGGGTTGGGAATGATTAGGACACGGTTATATCAAGCCATGGTATCAATACATAAAGTCACTAACTACTGGTCTGACTCATATAGGGAGACATAGAGCAACTGGATGAGGATCCTTGAGATGCGAAACATCAGTGATTAGAGAAGCTTAGTGAAGTGGCTCGAAATCCTTCATAATGGTGCAGACTCACTTAACCGTTATTATCTATGAAACTATGAAAGTTACGAATTTTCACTAAGTCGCTACCTCTCCTTCACAAATGATAGTCTATTGTAGTATTAGTACATAATAGAGAAGATTTGTAGCTCAAGTGGATGATTTGCAATTAATAGTGTTCTCTGAGCTGGTTGGTTTAGTTGCGAAGCTTTTGTATTTCCTGGAGACGTACAGCAGAAAGCATATTTACATGAGGATTCGTATACTCTAGAATATAACAAAGAGCGAATGCATTGGAACGGATGAGAATAACTTTCAGCCATATTACCAAAAGTCTTCAACCACTGATTCATTGCATCTTGAGAACACCCAGTCAGACAGTCGTTTCCCTACGTAAACCAAACCGAAAGTCTGTCTTCATGAGATGGTATCATGTTTTGGTCTAATCATCCCTAAGCGTTTTCAACCTAACTGCATATCAACTAGCATTACATTTTGACGAAGGCGGTGGATTGGTATGTGCAACACATGCCCTAACCATCTTAAACGATAAAGCCTTACAGTCTCATCACCTGGCCTTCCCTTTCTACCTAACAATCTACAATTAACCTCATTATTACTGACCATATTACATCACCTAACAAGAGAAACTGAACAATGGTAAGAAAACAAAAGTAAAATGACTAAAAAATACAAAAATTATAACTACACTGTGTACCATGAGGAAGAACGTTTGGACTTATCTGACTGACAGGCAGAACTTTGCACTCCCATGCAAAGTCCAAGCACATGAATGTGAAAAACGTCGATTTAACACAAATGAATGGAGTGAAGGACATATATATCAAAGAATAATTCAAAAATCAAATGGTATTACAAATTGCTTCATTCCAACCAATGTTAGATACCACCAGACTTAGCTTTTACTTACAGGCGTTGGTCTATTTCTTCAACTATTGGCATCAAACGCTCTCGGTGTAAGCACGCCTTGGAAACACCAGGGTCAACAATTAAAGCCTTTGTATAAAAATGTTCAGCAGCAAGTATCAGACCATCTGCATCATTATTTTCTATTTGACCGTAAATAGGAATTACAGACTGTGTTGGAGCTAAAGGGACCTTTGAGACAGGTTCTTTATAATTATAGGAACTTTCTATAGCTTCACCCAAGGCAATCAGAACGTCAATGTTGTCCGGGTCCAGAGTGAACGCATGCTCCAAAAGTTTCCTAGCCTTTGCAAACTGACCAGAGGACTGCTGAAGTGTAGCTGCACGAAGTGATTGAATAGCCTCCATTTTTTCGCCTGAAATTGGTTGCATTAGAGTGAAGCGGTCTTACTTTCTGAAGGAATGATACGATTACGCATTAACGGTGGAATGTTGGATGCTGATCTGGCTTTTCGATGGGTATATATAATATCCTTAACCAAACGCCGGTAAACAAATTCGCCACTTGAGTCTTCGTTTTTAATATCATCAGCAAAGAAAAAGTTATGCCCAGCTTTTCGAACATCACCGTATCGAAAAACTAGATGATAAATTGTTGATGATTGAAATAACTCATGCAAGTTGATGGTTTTATGGAGTGATAATACATATGACAGCAGTAATTTCCAAAATTCAAACGGGACTATAGCACAAATTAGTACAAAGACAGCGATCACCATAATTTTCACACTAAAATTTAGTTTCATGGGAACATGCGTTCAAAGTAGCCGGCGTGATGATTAGCGCTAGTAAACACGTGCTATAGCAACAACTTAAAAAAATCCTCATACGAAAGGAGCAACGAGAGAGAATAAATCAAGATTTTGAGTCTATAATATGAAAGGCTTTCATCAGTAAGAATATAATTTCAGGGGAAACTCAAAATAACAGACAAAGATAAAGGACTTACCAAATGACCTTGGACAACTAGTCTGTATAGCTATATGGTAAAAATCACCTGAGGCCAAAAACAGACTACATTTAAGACAAGGCCAAGGATAAAAGCTGTTCTAAACAAAAATCAAATCCTGGACATGTGAAAGTGTCTTCAAGTCCCACATGTTAGCCACAATAGATAAGTTCCTCTGAATGGTCACCGCTCTGAGGACCTGCTTATAGTTTTAACACTAATTTAGTTTAGAATGATGTTTCTGGTGCTTTCGATAATACGTACCGAATACTTCCCTCTGCCTTAGTCCATGAAAGAAACTGAAGAAAAGACTGATCAGAGTCGGTGAGAACAATTTACTTCGCCGGATAAAAATGCATCATATGTAACGTTACCAATAGTCGGAAAGATCAACCAGTGAAATAACTAATTTAGTCGGTTGTAAAAGTGAGTTACTGGCTGTTCAATGACATTTGGCATAAGCCTCGACTCAGCCTCCCATGGTTCAAGCAGGTTTTAGGCTGCAATAGATGTCATTTTAAGGTTGAGCGAAATTATTGGTGCGTAACTAATGGCCTTCTTTAGGTGCCTGTAAAACCATCTGGTGGAATTTCCGGGGCATTTCAAGGAACCGGTCAGCAGTAAATGTCACCGTTATCAACTTTTGGTGCTGTTAAAAGGTCACTATTCCTTCACATCAAAAAACACTGGGGCTACTCATTTGATCACTACCAATACAAAACTTAAAAGTCAGATAAGGATTGAATAAAGGGCACAGCTGGTATACATCATCCGTGGAAACAGAAGACACTGATTTTCATCCGGCTTGATGGTCATTTCCGTTTAACAAATTCTTGTCTGTTCGCTAGGTTTGCATTTTGAGCATATCCCGTCTCTCTCCCGCTATTATCTGTTTCTCTAGGCATATCACGGTAAAAGCTCGCCATTTTTATAGTATGAAGCAAATAAGTCAGTTTTCTTTCTTCGCATATCCATCATTTCAGCATTTCAGCAGTTTTATTTCCGTGAACTCTGGTTTTTGTCAGCAAATCCTTCATTTTATTGTTCACTGACAGTAATTCGGGTTCTCACACGTATTATCTGCACTTCATCGTGTTGATGTGACTGTTATGTCTGACTGAAACAGTGAGTGTGGAGGACAACACCGTTCGCTATTGAAGGAGGAAAGTGGTGTGATCAACTGAAACTTATCGTTTGTTTCTAAAGTTATATTAATTTCCGATTATAAATGTGTAAATAAGGAAGATAAAACTCAAACCCTTAGAGATGACATGACCATTGCCATAGTAGATGCAACACTATTTATACTTCTTGGAACTCCCATTACTACAAATGCCTTGCCAGATAAGCGGTCAAACTTTTGATTAGATTTAGAACCTAATGCGATCTCTGGCACTGTAATCAAAGCACCAGTGGACACTATTTTACAAGCGACTTTGAAAATCCACATAATTTTTAGGTATGGTTCTCGATTATGCTTTTCTCTGGATAATAATATATATTTATATTAGCAGGTAAAATTACATGAAATGAATGCAATCTTTACTAGCACAGTAAAGAGTGATATAAACTACAATCGTAAAATGTTGATAAATTAGTACTGTCTCAACTGTTTAAATAATTAAATTATAGTATAAACTATCAGAACAGGCCCACATAAGTGGTAAATTGCAAAGCCATCACCAAGGTTGGCGATAAGGTTGCACCCCAGCCCAAACTTCATTTCGTTCTCTGTGAGTGTTTGTAGTCAATCGATGAAGCACCAGTATTCAATGAGAGGTGGGGATAAACGCTATCAAGTTTTAAATCTACCTCGCTTCTGGTTTTCTCGTCTTCCATTGGCTAGAACAGTGGCGGTCATTTGGATATTTGATTTGCCGTAGATAGGTGCTGTGGTGTACAGTTTTGTGTGGTTGTGTTTTGAGTGTATTTTGCAGGTAACTGTGATGAACGTAAATGTAACATTTGACTGTTCTAACGTTGTTTCACCGCTTTTCATACAGATACAATGCTCTTTTCGACGTACACTCTCTTGAGACTGGTAAGCCATTATAGTGGTTATCAGTGACTATGACCCCGTGGGTCCCAATGCATTTCCTGAGTTGTGGTTGTACATGCAATAGTTTCTACTTCGATATTTCTCACTCACGTAGTCTAGTATTCTGTGTTTCTTTAGAAATGACTGTGGCAAGCTGTGGCAATAATTTGCTTCGTTAACGAAGCCTTATTTTAGGAGTTCATAGCAGGTAATCAGTACGAGTGGAAGCAGAACATATGTAAGAAGCTACGAACTCACTGGAATACTTTCAAAAGGTTCAGACCTTATAAATTGATCACAGTGACAACCATTTTCACATACTACTATGTGGCTACGTTCACATGCAGAGGAGAAATCGGCGAATGAGATATTGCATAGTAGTGAGACAACTTATGGAACTTTCATCTAGCTTGTGTGTTTCTTCCCAATATTTCCGTCTCTCAGATGACTAAAAAAGTATTGTTAAACATATTCTTGTAGTATGATTCGGTGGCACAATTGCTAGCAGTAGGTAATATTATGTGTGCGTAATTTTCATGATATTCTCTGCGCCATTGTGTTCCAAATTTCAAAAGAAGCATAAACTATGATAACTGGATTTACTGAATACTTATATATGGTCATTAGTGGTAATGCGTATTAATCGTGCAAATGCGAATTTGACTTGTATCACTCTTAGGAATGTCGAGTCGTAATGAGGTTTCTCAGTTAGTTAAATCGGTGGAAAGCTGATGTAGTCGCATTCGGACGAAGACGTCCAGAATCTACTAACTATTGTTACACGATCTTCACCGGATAGATTTGCATGGTTAGTTGTAGGAAGGTAAGTCTACTCATTCACCTATAACCATGCAGATATTCTTTGTTACAGTCTGTGATACCGGATGACTTTGGATTTGGGCGTACAGTTCTGTTTGCTTGAATTGAGAAGGAATTTAAACGTGACGCAATTTAGATACTGGACAGTTCCTGCCGAGTAATGGCAATAATTCCCAAACGAGGACTTTCACCTTGGACTGTGCTCAGCCAATATATGTAAATAAACTTGCTTGCCTTGCGCTACAGTAAAACTTTTAATCTGACATTCTTGTGTTCTGTTTCATATGCTTGCGTTGAGTGTACGGCATGCTAGAGCGCTACTCCCTAGGATATGGACTTGCTAATATACGCAGGCGTAATTCTGTACGAGCCCCGTCGATCAATATAAGTGGTGAATTATAAGTACTTTAGTCAATCCTAAACATCTGCCTTAAGTTGAGCAATTACGTCTCCTGGCAATAGGCAAATCTGTAGGGACGAATGACAAGAATACTTAGCCTATGTACTCGAAAAATAAGAATAGAACTTAGGCACTGCAGTAGAGTTTGATTTCGTATGAGATTAAGTGTATCCAAAAGCAGTACATTACAATATTTCATTTAAAGTATGATATCAGTTCATATGATCACGGGCGTTATTACATAGCGCAAAATGAAGTCTTCATGAGACGAATAATTGAGTAGGTGGAGCTGTGACAATCGTAGCAATATTTCACTCACATTGAATAATGCCACCAATTACTTTCTAAGGTCTCACTGAATAAGTCAAGCCTCCATCTCGTCATGATGACAAATTTATTCCCACCCATAGAATAAGAAGAGTATGGTAAGCAGGATGTTAGGTATATTTAACGAAAAATAATAACAAGTAAGTGTCTGTACAGAACTGTTTGTCGTAATTATTTGGCGGTGTTGAATTGCTGTGACCAGGTTGACTGACGTTATAGGGCTTATGAGTGAATAAGGTGTATTTTTGAATTCGTTGCAGTTAGAAAAAAGTGATATGAAAGTTAAATGCTCTATATTTGCCTGCCTTTGCTGAAAAATGTTCATTCGCCTTTCTCAATCTGCGGTCACAACAGCATTCTTCTGTGGATTTTAGTGTCAAATAAATTGTTCCTCTTGTCAAGTATAGGGCTAAGCAAATCGGGAATTGATGTTTTGGCGTCGTTCTGAACTTTAAAAGATGGTTCACACATCTTAAAGATAGTATTTATGGGAACTGGAGTAACACTTGTTTCTATCTGTTCAGGGTATTTCCTTCGACGCGGTTTCTTATCAGCAACTTGCTGCATTCCTAATGATTTTACGGGAGGGTTGATTCCGTGTTCACTTTCATCAACTGTCTCTTCACGGATAATAGCATGAAGTAAATGCATATACTCAAGCGTTGTAACCTGAACGTCACAAATGCCCTCTAGATAAGCTGATTAATTATGGTTAAAAAACATGAGTCATTATTGCAGCTTCCATATCCTTCGTAGCAACAGGTAATTCCTGAAGGAGCTCAGAACACCTTAGGGATCTGAAAATGAATGATTAATAGGACCAATATGACTTACGTAAAAGGTGTACTAGTGGTAGGATGCAGCTGCAAGCTACTTTACGACAGAAAAGTAGCACTAACTGTAAGCAGTGTTACGTTTCAGGAGGACCATCTAGTGTATTTCTTAAAGTGCTCCATTGAATGACTAGCTAGCCGATTGTTCCCATAAACTAAAGTCGAAAAGGGCGGAAACCATGTAAATTCACTATAAGCCAAATTCATGTAATTTAAATAATACTAAACCATGTTGTACAATTAATGTGTTCCTAAATAGATAGGAACAAATATATTATCATTACTAATTGTAAACAATATTATATTTCAGAGGGGCCATCCATAGTATTACTCTTGTCCCAATGCACACTGATATCAAGATAATTTGATGCCATCGATGCAGTAAGCATGATGGTCTTCCGAAATTCCATGAGGCAGTGTAAAGTCCACTAGTATCTCATCTTCGGCTAAACAATTTCGACCATGTACTTCATCAAAATTGACACAATCGCTTCAAAATTCAGCAGTTTGTCTCACTTATTATGTGGTTCCTTCGATGTGTCACG